CAAGTGGGGCCAGTGCTGAGAGGCGCCAGGGACGTGGAATTCGCGAAGACACCAGCGCGACAGCCGTTGCTGGACGCGGGAGATGGGAAACAGACCCGAGGTGGACAATTGGAAGTGGACCAATTGGGGCCAGTGCTGAGAGGCGCCAGGGACGTGGAATTCGCGAAGACACCAGCGCGACGGCCGTTGCTGGACGCGAGAGATGGGAAACAGACCCGAGGTGGACAATTGGAAGTGGACCAAGTTGTGGGCCGTGGTGTCCTACCAATGGACAGCTCAATGCGGGTCGAATCGGAGAGAAACAGGTCAGAGAGAAACAGGTCCGAGGGAGACAAGCCAGAAGGGAAAGAACAGAGGGTGGATGCGGGCCAAAGCTTAGGTGCCCAGACCAAAGGCACAGACGTACGGGATCGCGATTGTGGTCGGGATTTGCGGAGAGGCGGGCTGGCTGCAAAAGGTGAAAAAGCTGATAGCAAAAGTAGGGTCTGTAAGAGCGAGGCGTTAGTGGAGGACGCCGTGGAGGGTAGAGTGTGTGAGCCGGTTCCGAACAGACCAATAGACTTGTCGCTGCAGCCATCTCCGAGTGAGCAAGGGAGTCCGAGTGAGCAAGGGAGTCCGAGTGAGCAAGGGAGTCCGAGTGAGCAAGGGAGTCCGAGTGAGCAAGGGAGTCCGAGTGAGCAAGGGAGTCCGAGTCTATCTCCGAAAGAGGTTCGGCGTCTGTTGAACGCAGGCAAGCTATGCATCCATAACGTGATTGGCTATTTTAAGGCGAACAGCATTGATTTGCGCGACTTGCTTCCAATCATCACGCTCCCGGACCAACGGAGGTCCCACATTAATGCGGTGATTCATGGGCTTCGTTCGGTAATGTTTGGTGCACCGTTAAGTCTGGCGAAATGGCGGGAAATGGATGAGCGTTTGCTCGACAAGAATCTCAGGTCACCAGAAAGTCTGATTTACAAAATTGTGAGGGCCTCGAACAAGTCCGGCCGAATTGAAACGCGAGGAGGTGATTATTATGTTCGTGACCTGTTGACGGACTTCGTGGACTATCTCCATGAGGAGGGGCTTTCCAAATCGCCAGCTGAACTGCTGGATTGGGTCTCTCTGTCCAAATTTCCTTTCTTAGACTTGCAGAACGCTGACGACTGTGACGATATTGACGACTATGTTGGCGACGATGTTAACGACGATGTTGACGACTATGTTGGCGACGATGTTGGCGACTATGTTAACGACTCCTCCTCCCCCCACCGGGCGGAGAAGCCTAGCTGCCTTTACCGCAACATCCAGACAAAAGTTTGTCTTAAGGATATCTTGGACAACGTGCAGAGGCACGATGTAGGGGATTGCCGAGCGGTCGAGTGTTTCAATTACCATGTTGTATGTGGCCAGCAATCTGTTGTCCACGAACATAGCCCAAGTAGTCCCGAACATGGCATAGAATTAGGGGGGTCGAATCTCCAACACGTCTTTGACGCTCCTGAAGGTTATTCTGTTCGGGCGATAATTATGAGTCTTCCAAGAAAGGATAACACAGGACTTGACTACCTGACGCTTCGGAGACTCGGTTCTCGGAATTATGTTATCACAGGCGAGCGAGCCATTCCTCTTGGAGATTGCCTGCCCAATGGGATTGTTGAAACTGTGATATACGCCCGTAACCATTTATAAAATCGAGATGCGGATGAGTTGACTGTTTATGAGCTAACCATGCACGTAAGACGAAGCATTTTTCATAACACGAGTTGTATGCAAACCAGCGATTACATAATAGCGACGGCAACGATCCCTAAAAGAAAGCACCGTGAGTGATTAGCACCGTGAGTGATTAGCACCATGGGCAATAAGTAAGTGTGTAGGGAATGACGCATTCTGGGCATAACATGGGCTTACCTGCTGGCGCAGCGACTTTGATGTACGTCATAAGATCCAAATGAAGCCAGTAATTGATAATGGACAAAGTCACTAGTGCTGCAGGAATGGAAACTATCATCCTCTTCCAAACCGTCTTAATTTCATGAATTTGCATTTCGTATCTCCTCTTCCAGCCGGCCATCAAACAATATGCAGTAAAGGCACATATGGCGATGCAAGTGACCACGCTGGGGAACACCGCCTGCAAGGGAGTGGTGACATTTCCCGCCCACCAGGATCAGTACATAGGGTAGTTGGGGGCTGGCTTCTGACCCGCGAGACCTCGACCCCAGTAGGTCTTGCCCCGATCGATAGGCTTGTCCCCGACAGGTATTAACGGTAGCCCGGTTTAACGGTAGACCCGTGTTCACGGTAGACTCGGAATGAAGTACAGAAGCCAGTGTTTGTGCCGGCGAGACTGGCCGCTTGCGTGCAAATGCTGTTTACAGTGAGACCCTCTTGGTGAGGGAGTTGTTGTTGTCCCCAGGCCGGTAAGATTTCGTCGGCCACCATTTTTATTTTTTCTGTCAGAATGGCCCGCTGCATCACATCGTCTAAAAGCGCGCGCATTCCTATCTCCATGTTGCTGGCCGAGACAGTGGCGGTTGACTCTGGCCTGGAGTACGACGACGCTCCGATGGAGACGTCCTGCATTTTGGACGAAGTCGCTGACGAGGAGCAAGCGACTCCAGAGGCAAACCCGCTCATGGTCGTGGCTTCCGCTGTTGACGATCAGCACGCGGCCGCGGAACAGGAACAAAATGGCCACAAAGACCACGACCACAAAGGCCATGGCCTACACGACCTCGTGAAGCTCATTACTGACCATCCCGCCTTACTTTTCGCGGCCGAGATCGGTGCGGAGCTGGTCGTGCATCTCATCGCTCACTTCATTGCCGAAGGGATAATGCACCTCTGCAAACGCAAGAAGCGCCGTGACGAAGACGACGACGAAGACGACGAATAGATAGCCAGACGGCACCCCCTTTTTTCGCATGACCGTGCCGGCGAGACCCTCGGTCGTCAGCGGCACCAGTCGCTGACTCTTGGTCCCATCGGCTTTCACTAGTGATAATATCTTTGGTAGCAGTTGGGTCCATCTGTAGCTGGACTGTTTTCAGACCTAGTTAGTACGTAGACCTAGTTAGTACGTAGACCTAGTCAGTACGTAGGCTCAGGCCAAGAGCAAAAGCTACAAGAAAAGCATCTCACTTTCCGGCCACAGGGGAGTCGCTCCCAACCGACCAGACGCAAATACGACCTGAAGGTCAGCCTCCAGAGGGGGGGGGGGGAGTCAGGGGGGATCTTACCGTAGAGGCCGTGAAAGCAGACGACGTTGTGTGTCTTGCAGTAGTGCTGGATGCTTGGCAGAAGGTCTGCCATGGGGAGCAAGACGACTTCGATGTCTTCTCCGTCGTCAAGGGCTTGCACTGGAGGCGGGTGATTATCGGGTACTTTGAGTTGAACCATTTGTACTGACTCTGTACTCATACCTGGTGAAAGGCAGAGGGTCTCTGACACAAGTTCGTCCGGGCCTGCGGAGTAGCCAGTTTCTTCTTGGAATTCGCGACGGGCGCAATCAGCGATGTCCTCGTCTGCATTGACCAAACCAGCCGGGAACTCGAGACAGAAGGCTTCGATGGCCGGGCGGTATTGGACCACCGTCACGAGGTACTCAGCGTGGTCTTTACGCAATGTCGCAACTATCATGGAAGCATCAACTCCTTCCGTTGTTTTCGGAGTAGAGCGCACCACCCGATCCCAGACACGCTCTTTCCCGTCCTTGTCCACATACGTCAGCTGAAAGCAAATAATGTGTGTGCAAACTCAGGAGTGCAAACTCAGGAATGCAAACTAAGGAGCAATCGCTGGACCTGTGAGCAGGAGGTCGGGACGCCGGTCCAGGGGGTCAGTATGGTCCGTGACGCTACGCTTTCGAGCTTCAGCCATTTGGTCTCGCCAACAGTCTCAACCTTTAAAGTTTTATACCCCGCCGGCATGAAAAGATTACTCGTCGTCATTTTCGGGTTGGAGGCAATGGCCGTCAAGATCCCCGAAATTGACCCACTGTCTATCCCCTTTGTAGGGGCCCACAGCGGTCGCATGATGTTCAATATCCAGCCTCAAGACGTAGAAGCGGAAGAAGAATTTAATCTGCTCGAGTCCTTGATCCCCAAGGAAGCTCCGCTTTTCGCCCTCGACTCTGAAGAGTACCAAAAGGCTTTACAACAGCGCCCTAGGACGGCAAGTGACCTGCGAGAGGAAGACAACGCTGTGCAAGGGAAATGAAAACGACTGTGACTGACCTAGTTAGTTATTTTACCACGGTCTTTACTGCCACCGTTGTTTGGGTAAGATGAGGTGCAGATTGCCGCACCTATAATGACCCCAGGAGGTGGGGCTCTACGGTGGACATCGAATGTGCTCGATATACGGTCATATGAAGAACTAGATACACGGGAAATCAACCTCGTTCTAATGAAGCTCAAAACCAGAGCGGTTCAGGCGACCAAAAGCAAATTACAGTTCTTGCAGCATCAAGTTCAAGAGAAAGTAAAAATTGTGCAAGCTACTCAAGCACAGCTTCAAATAAATAAACTGGCTCTGGAAAACGCGGTGACAGGTAAACAAATCACAAATGAAGACGCTAACGTATGGATTGAGCACTTCGGTAGTTCGTTTTCACCGGATCCGGAAAGCTACCAATGGGTTATCGATTCCTATCCTGAAGAGCAGCGACCTATGCTTCACATAATTGCTCAAATTGCTCTAGCACCCAAACGAATTGAGCACGAAGAGGATACCATTAACCTTTACAGCCAGCTGCTTGAACCCACAAAAAAACTAATCAAGGTATACGAGAAAGAAGTGGATCATTGTAAGGCTTATGAACAAGAGGCCGTAGAAAAAGCTGAACTCAATGAAAAGGTAAGTGCGATTTCATAGATAAAACCTCGTTTTCTTAGAACCGATTGCGCCAGTTCAAAAAAACTAGAGAACGGGTTATTCTCGAACGGAAGGCCGGGATCTCCAGCAGCAGCTATGCACCAAATATATCCGATTCTTCAGTGCCCGCGACTGATCAGGCCTCACCTGCTGAAGGCGTTGAAGCCCTGCTCAAAAGATTCGCCGAGTAATACGTAAAATGCGCATCACACACGCGTGTGCTATATGCATTTTCATCCTAGAAAACTCTCTACAAGTCGACGCGGATGAGGGAAATTGTGTCAATTCACCTTGGACAATGTGGTGTGCAACTAGGAGGCGCGACCTGGGAGTTATTCTGTTTGGAGCATGGCATCATGCCTGATGGATTTGTCGCAAATAATGATGAAATAGACGGATTCGAAGATGATGCTCACGCTACGTTCTTCTCGGAAACAGGGGATAGGAAGCTCGTACCGCGTGCCTTGTTCTGTGATTTGGAGCCTACGGTGGTTGATGAGGTTCGAACTGGCACTTATCGGTCATTGTTTCATCCAGAGCAGCTAATGAGTGGCAAGGAGGATGCCGCGAATAACTACGCTCGTGGTCACTATACGGTGGGCAAGGAAGCGATTGAAGGTTGTATGGAAAGGATTCGGAAGCTGACGGAGAATTGTACAGGGCTCCAGGCGTTTCTGGTATACCACGCGGTGGGAGGCGGCACGGGTTCTGGATTGGGATGTTTGATTTTAGAGCGGCTTTCTGTCGATTACGGAAAAAAGTCGAAGCTGAATGTGTGCACCTGGCCCGCGCCGCAGATCAGCACTGCGGTTGTGGAGCCTTATAATGCTGTTCTGTGCACGCACTCCCTAATCGATCACACCGATGTGTCCTTCTTGATGGACAATGAGGCGATTTACGACATATGCAGCAACCAGTTGGACGTGGAGCATCCCAGCTATCCGAACCTGAACCGTTTAATCGCGCAGGTAATGTCGTCTTTCACTGTGTCTCTGCGATTTGACGGCGCGCTCAATGTTGACATTACTGAGTTCCAAACGAACCTGGTGCCGTTCCCGCGCATTCACTTTTGTATGTCCTCTTATGCTCCGCTGATCACGCCCGAAAGGTGCAGTTCAGAGACCATAACCGTCAGCCAGCTCACCCGTTCCATTATCCAGCCTGAGTCGCACTTCGCCAAATTCGATCCGAAGAGAGGCAGCTACATCTCCATCTGTTTGCTCTACCGCGGTGATGTTGTTCCAAAGGACACCAATGCAGCCATCTCGCAGCTGAAGTACAACAAGCAGGTGAAGTTCGTGCCCTGGTGTCCAACTGGCTTCAAGGCGGGACTCAACTACCAGCCACCTACCCACATTCCGTCCGGTGACCTCGCCAAGGTGTCTCGAGCGCTTTGTGCCTGTGCCAATTCGACAGGCATGGTGGACGTGTTCGGGCGCATGGACCACAAGTTCGATCTAATGTACTCTAAGCGCGCGTTTGTGCATTGGTACGTAGGAGAGGGAATGGAGGAGGGTGAGTTCACAGAGGCTCGAGAGGACTTGGCTGTGCTTGAGAGCGACCTTCAGGAGGTCGCAATGGATTACCTGAACGAGCCTGAACCAGAGCAATAGCGGCTGAACCTGCTGTGCCTTTTTGTTTTTAAAAATGAGCTCAGTCAATCTTAGGGTATACGATATCTCTGGGGGCGCGTAAGACCACTGGCTGGCTCAGCAGTGAATTTGATCTGTCGTATCTCTTAGAGCGAAGAGGTGGTCTTCCATTCTGATAGGCCGACAGATCCAAGGCGTTTGGCACAGCGGAATCGAGGTGTTTGGCTTCGAGTACTTTTACGGTAAGGTCTAAGTGTCGGTGCGTTGTACGACTTGGACAATTCCGGGCGTATATTCGAGGTTTGTGTAGGAGGTGGGATTGTGAAGATGAAGCCGGAGAATGTGGAGATGACCTTTGGAATAACACCAACGTGTGTACATGACCTGGGCAGGACGAAGATGACGCGGATCGAGTTTGAGAAGTTTTTGATTACCGCGATGCCGTTATTTCGTAAGGAGGTGTACAACTTGACAGAGTGGAACTGCAACCACTTTGCCAACTATTGCTGTGAAGAGCTGTTGGATCGACAGATCCCGCAGTACATCTTGGACTTGCCGCAGGAGGTCTGCAAGACGTTTATGGGAAAGCTGATTCTGAACTTCCTGAAGATGATCGGAGGAAGTGCGCCGGTGGCGGTTGACGACCCCAGTCACCCGTCCAAGACAGCGTCTCCGGGACAGCCGCCGCGGTCCGGCCTGCCCCGGCCTCCCGTTCGGGTCCAGAGCGAGCGAGTGGCGCCGCGCTGTAGGAGGAACTCTTGTCCAGCTTCTCCCATACACCGCGGCCTTGCTAACTCAGCCGAGCCTCGGATGCGCTCCCGACCTGCTGTGGCAGAGAACGAACGAGGAGCCAGAGGCACAACCCGAACCGCCAGAAGGAAGTCGGTCGCCAACACGGTCGTACCTCCTAGAAACCTGCTATCTCCGCAGCCGTCCCCTCAAGCGACCACGCCCGAATTTATCCGGTCTCAACACGACCTCTTGTCGGCCTCTGACCGATCGGCCCCTGACCGATCGGCCCCTGACCGATCGGCCCCTGACCGGCGTCTCATCACGCTGCCGGTTGTGGATTCGCTGCGAGACACTCCTCATCCGCAAGACGTGCAACGAGTCAAAGGATCGCCCATCGCGGGCGCGGAGACAGAGGTGTTGTTCTCTCCTGTCCACAGGAGACTGTACGAGCTGGAAAGAGATTTGTATGCACCCAAAAAGCAGACCGCCCGCCGGAAAAGTCTGGCCCTGGCCAAGAGACCAGAAGCATTGGTATGCTAAAAGCGTGTCCGAAAAATTGCTGCCAAACGGGCTACCAAACCAGGCTGCGGAAAACGCTGGCTAACTCCGTTGCGAGCCCCGGTTGCCAGTCCTGGGAGGTAGGCCTGGTTGGTATCCCGGGTTGATGAGTCAAACACATTCTGAATATTATGTCAATGGATAGATTTGATGTGTATAGTATAATGGTTCACCAGGCCACCAAGGCAGCTCGACGACCAAGACTCGACAATCACTAAGGTCGACTCGGCCACAGATGGGCTGTCTAGCTTAGAAGGGGTCGAGTGTTGTCTATAAAGTCTGGGTTTGGGGCGACGTAGTGAGTGGCCCCATTGGGCCAAATATTTTTGTTGGTTGTATATGGAGTCTCCGCCGAATTGGGACGAGGGGCAGGAGCGCTGGCCGCCTCAGGTAGAGGAAGCAAAGAGGGGCCGTTTGTTGCCGGTTCCCATTGAGCAGTTGTTTTCGGTGGATTTCAATGACCCGTGCGTCATCACGACAGCAATAACTTTGGGTTATCAGACAGACTTGCCGGCGGATACAGGGTACGGAAAGAAGAAGACCCTCATCAAGCTGTCGGACGAGACGGCGTCGGTGATTGTAGGAAGGAATGGTCGAACGAAGCAGAAAATAGCGGCGGTATCGGGCGCCAGACTGACGTTGAACGACGAGTTGCTGCTTGACATCAGTGGCACGCACTCAGAGCGTGACCGAGCGGAATTTTACATGAAGATGATTTTGAGACAGAGACAAGGCGGCAGCCTGTTTGTGGACTTCGATGAGTCTTGCAGACCCGACCTCAGTGTCATGCATCTCAAGCCTTCTTGGATTACCGGCTGCGGACTGGTGCTTAAGCAACTGGAAGATAGAACGAACACACTCTTATTTTTCGCACGACCATATCAAGGCAAAAGTAGGACCAAGGAAGTCGTCCCGATCAACCAAACAAAGGATGAAGATATGGTCTACGATCGCTTTACCTCTAGCGATGGCGGTTCGGCCACCAAGGATCGACTAGATGACAAAGGTAGATTACCAGCCCGCAGAACACATCGAGGAGGTGTTCATCTCGGCGCCAGCGGCTGCGGAGATGAGACGGAACGCGGCCCGCGAGGCAGTCCTTCGTCGGACAAGCCCATAGAAATAAAAGGAGAGCTATTTGACGATGTCCCCAGTGGCGCGTCTTTTTCAAGACGCGAAGGTTCTCGTGGTGGGGAAACTTCTCGTAGTGGTGAAGCTGCTCGAATTGGTGGAGATGGCACAAAAGACCTTCCGGATCGCTTTGTTACAGATCGTCCCCTTGTGGATCGTCCCCTTGTGGATCGTCCCCTTGTGGATCGTCCCCTTGTGGATCGTCCTCTTGTGGATCGTCCTCTTGTGGATCGTCCTCTTGTGGATCGTCCTCTTGCGGATCGACCTCTTGCGGATCGTCCGGTTGCGGATCGTCCGGTTGCGGATCGTCCTCTTGCGGAGCGTCCGGGGGCCAGTGGGTCTCGAGGGGGATCTCGACGACGTGGGGCTCGAGAAGCGGACGACGAGAGGGCACGGACAGAGGAGAAGGACGAGGCGTCGCCTTCCGTTCCCGCGGGGAAGAGGCGTCGTCGCTTAAGTAGTGGGGAAGAGGATGCTGAGATGCTATTGATTTTTGGTGACATGAGAAGTCGTCGATTGGCTCAGTTGCAGATTATGTCGGCGGTGGAGTTGCGATTTCCCAGTCTGTTCTCAGATAAGTACACGGATCATGTGTCAAAGAACAAGGTGTTCAGTACAGATCGATTGACGTTGCCACAGGCGGACTTGAAGTATGCAAATGGAAAGGATGGTAGTACTCGACGGAAGATAAGCAAGGCCGCTAATTGCTTAATGGAGTTTGTGGGGAATGTCGTGTTCATAGCGGGCACGCCTACTGAAGTCTCAAGGGGGCGGGACTATCTCTTGTGGTTGATCAAGCAGCGACGTGGCGGCGTGCATGTAGACATCCGGGGGCGTTCTGATGTCATAACAGTCTCCGTCCCGGCAGATATCCTCACCAATGCCTTAAGCGCACGGCCTCATGGACTGCGCAGCATTGAAGCCGACACTGATACATACTGTATCATTGACTCCGAGCGCACACGTGAAGGACGTGACCAAGTCCTCGTTTTCGGCTACTCCGTCGAAGTACGAGAGAAAGCACGCGAACTCCTCTATGACTTCCTCGACAGACATGGCTCCTATCAAAATCCCAGCCATTACAATTACCAACCCCCCGCTCACTACCGGGGAGAAGAAGGCCCTCCAAGAGAAGGCCCTCCAAGAGAAGGCCCTCCAAGAGAAGGCCCTCCAAGAGGCGGGATTCTCAACGGAGAACGCCCACGACCAAAGGAGCAGTGGCCATACTAATGTAGCCGTCTAGTGCTGGATCTGGCATGTATCAGGATGGGTATGGAGTGGTGGGGTATGACGGAAGGGGGTTTAGGACGGAAGAAGGGTTAGGACGGAAAAAGGGTTAGGACGGAAAAAGGGTTAGGACCGAAGAAGGTTAGGATCGAAAAAGGCTGGGAACCTCCACCGAGAACACCATTTCCAAGGGCCAAGTTTCGAACGCGAGAGTGCGGGATTGTTAGCTAGTTAGCTTTCATAATAAGCTCGTTCTTCTAATGTTAGCTCAGAAACTCCGCTAAAACTCAACTTTTGAGTCCAACCCAACGTATAATTCCTCTTGATAATCCCCGGTATTCTGGCCTCTATCTGTATCAATGATTTTGCCAATATGAGTTCCCCCGCCTTCATGCATGATCCCACTTGATGCACTGGCTGGTTGATCAGCCAGCGACTGACCGACCAAAGCCACCGGCTGACCAAAGCTAGCCAGCAAGTCAGTCCTCAGGCGCCTTCCGAGGCTTTAAATTAGGTTTATGAATTTGATTTGGGTCTAGGGTTCCTCGACGATGCCTCTGATTGGCCCATTCCTCGCGACATGAGTAGGGACGTAAAAATCCTCGGCGACAGCGACAGTGGCAGCCAGTCTGCGATCATCTTCTGGGTTGGGCGGCATGAGGTCCTTGGCCACCCTGTTTAGGTCGTTGTCATTTTTGACGCAGACTTGGCAGGAGTCTTCGGACTGTCTTCGATTGGGTATGGACTGCAGTTGTCTCCTCCTTCTGTGGGAGGTGCAAGCCACCCCGATGAAACAAGCCGCCAGCACAAAGGCGACTCCAAGAAAGTGCGAGATGTCCAGCGACCGCGGCGGAAGGGAGCTTTTACCCGCCGCTACGATGAGCAGACTGGTGCAGACGAATGCGGTCCAGAATTCCAAAGTGAAACTTGTCGCGCCTTCAGTAATTGCGACGCTTGAGGACAGCACGCTGAACACCATTGAAATGGTGCCCAGAAACGTCAAAAACCAGAGCTCCCGGTTCTGAATTGGGAAGCGAGGCGAGCGGCACTCGCGGGGGAGTATGGTAAAGATCCATACGGGTAAGTACAGAGCAAAGCGCGCAAAAGTGATTGCGAGCGCGCGCGCGCGACTTCCAATTATTGGCGAAAATTCTGCCAGCGCTGCGCAATGCAGGGTGCACAAGACGCCCGCACTGATGCCAGCGACCGCGCCGGAGGTCCTCATGGTCTGGACGGGCGGGCCGAAAAGGTCGAACTGCAAGAAAGCGGCTCCCAAAATCAGCAAAATTGCTGCTTGGAAATGAGCGGGCCTGATCACCTTTCTCTGGGCCCAGCCAAAGCCAAAATAGTCAACCGTGACCCCCCCAAACACGTTTCCAGTGACCACGAACACGGTGGTATAAGCGAGGCCAATCCAGTACACGGAATATACGATCAGTATAGAGCCAAGGGACAATCCCGTACCAGCGAAGAAGGTAAACCACAAGCAGGAGTTGTCCCATAAGTCACGGTAGAATCGGAACACAAGCGTCGCCATAGATGGCTGTCCTAGCCTCTGAATAAGTCCACAGACCAGACAGCAAATTGCGCCACCCAGGACCACCAAGTAAAGACCGAGCGGCATCGCTCTCGTCAAAGCAGAAAGACGCAACAGAATCGCCACCGTCACCGCGGCTAACGATCCGGCATAGTACGAACTGAACGATGCCACCCATGACGGAGCACGGCGGTCGTTGTGACCTGGCCAAGCAGCCACATACGTCTGAGTACTTCCCTCGTACATCCAAGCGTTTGGGAAAACCTCCTCCCCCGATCTCCCGACGTTCTCCCCGACGTTCTCCTCGGTTGAGTCTAAAAACCTCCTAGCTTCTCGGAAGGTTTCACTTCAAGCTGAAACGCCGCAACCACTTTGCCCCCAGCATCCGTCCGTTAAACCGTAGCCCTTAGCCTCGTAGCCCTTAGCCTCGTAGCCCTTAGCCTCGTGGCCACCAGTCTCTCCGCCCTTAGCATCGTAGGCCCCGCCCTAAGTCTTTCCGCCCTTAGCCTCTCCCCCTTAGCCTTAGCCTCTTAAGCATTAACCTCGTATTATGTGTCTCGTGGTGGTCTTGGTCTGCTCGTAAAACTCGCTTTCGTTCTTCTGTCTCCTGCGTTCCCGCAGCGCAATGTCTACGCCTTCCAACTTAACGACGTTCGGCTGCTTTACGCTCTTAATCCAGTCTGTTGCACCTAACGGATTAACCAGCAGCGGCTTCCAAGGAACGGTAAAGATGCTCTCGTGATCGGTTTCAGGCAACGTGGCGGACCTAAACGGTGCGGGGTGGTTTCCTTCTCTAGCTGGTGCTCCGAAGGAGTTGCCGGATACTGAACTTACTGGGACTGAACTAACGGGGGCTGAAATAACAGGGGTAGAGCTAGCGGTAGCAGAACTAGAACTAACGGCGACAGAACTAGCGGAGACAGAACTGACTGGCACAAGGGGGTTACTTAATGTCGAGCTGCCGCTGCCCGGTTGCAGCCTATCAGGCTGCAGTCTGTAGCCCTCTGTACTGCTTTTGAGCACGCCCTCTCCAATGCCGTCTGGACGACCGGTGTGATCCTTTCCCTTGAGACCCGGATAAGAGCCTAAAGCGAGACCAGAGGAGAATCGTTGAAGATCTGGTGGTATGGCCGTTACGGCAGATCTCAGCGAACCGCCCTGAGGCCTTCCCGTGACGGCTGCACCAAAACTGAAGGTCGGCGGCGCTAGTGTGGCCGCTCGGAAATGGTAGTTGGCTTTCGGGGGTTGGTCACCTCGCCACTCCTGAGAAATCTTGCTCGAGGCGTCTTCGCCCTTCGCCCGCCGGTCATCACTACCGAGTAAATTCTGTAAATGGTTCTGCTCTCCACCCGCCCTTAACAAGGACGTGGAAGACATGGGAAACGTCCCGGTTGGATATGGAGCACCTGGAAACGATGAATTTGTCATTGACGCACTCGATAGCGAGCCACTCGGAAACGAGGCATTAGATTGACCAAACTCGATCGACCCAGGCGTCGTCAATGTTACACTTCGTGAGTGTCCCCTCATGCCATCATCCCCCCACAGTTCAGTTCCCTGTCCTGCCTCTCCAGGCATCTTATTGTCTGCAAAGAAGTTTGGGTCAGTCGTCTTCAGTTTCTCCGCGTCGCTAGACCTAGAAACGAAAGAAGGAGTAAAAGACCGAACGACACTCCTGCTCCTATCGGGATCCGGCACAAAACTCTGGTTACTTCGGTAGTTCAGGAATCCATCACCACCAGTCGTCATGTCAATTTTCTTCGGGCCGTCATACTTGTGGTCGATGTACCTGTGGTCGACGTACTTGTGGTTAAATGGGGTCGATCTGTTCGGATCTCGAATTTGGGACATGCCAGGATCAGAGCTGCGGAAGACTTGGGAACCAGACTCGGGCAGCATCGCTGCAGGAGTGGTGTGGGAATAGGATCTGGCTGCGTCCGAAGGAGCGGGACTGGAAGAGGTGGTCACTGGCCCGCCCGTGGTGGTCACTGGCCCGCCCGTGGACACCAGCTTCGAGTTTGGGTCTTTCGAGTAAGTTAAAGGGTCGGTTGAGCTGAAATTGGAGGAATTGAAAGTCGAAGAACTCACAGAATTGAAGGCGGTCGGGATCGTGGGGGCCGCGGTCGCCGACACCCCGAAGGGTCCATCTGTCTTTCGGCTCGACGTGTCCAGCGTCTTTGCAACCGGTGCGTTCCCGGCGATTCGGTAAACGTTGGAACAGTCGAATGGGTGGGAAGAATCAAAGGAATTGGAGGACTCAAACGGATGCCGGTTGGAGTATGTATTCCGCATTTCAGCTGTTGCTTGCGTAAACGGTCCTTGGCTGGCCGCCATCCGGACGATCGGAGGCTTGCGAAGATTGGACGTCTTTGCAGGTGAATTGGAAGAATTGGCGTGAGACGACAGGAGACTAGCCATAAGAGAGGCCGGTACAGTGCTAACGGATGGAGCAGAACCGCTGACGTGGTGGCTCCTACTCGGGGCTGACTGTCTCTCGTGCGGCTGCTTCCCAGCGGGCTGCTTTTCAGCTGGCGGCTTTTCAGCTGAGCGCCTAGCAGACGGTTGCCCAGCAGACGTTTGCCCAACAGACGGTTGCCCGACAACCGGGTGCCCAACAGCCGGGTGAAACTCAGGAGACGCCACCACGTCGGCAGGAGTAAGGTCGGACGAAGGCAAATCTCCGAAGCTCGGGTGAACACGTAAAATGCCCTGGTCCGGTCCTTCTGGGCCATGGTGGTGATTGCCCATGGCAGCAGTGTCCGTAGCCGACGGTACGAACACACTGGTAGACCGTGGCGCCCCCGGGCCAGGCGTGAGCGTAGGCGGTGCGTAGGTTCGAAGGATGGCGCCCGGGTAATCCTCCTCCACTTGCTCCCGGTCATAGGCGGTCACACTCGGAACGGTGCTCATCCCGAAAGCAGCCCTGAGACCCGGAGCCGTAGAACCCATGCCGGGATGGAACCTCACGGGTCCGGAGTGGCTTCGGAGGTGTTGGCCCGGTAGGTACACCGTCGCAGGGAACCGACGGCCCTCTGTAGTCTCTCCCGGGGCCGTGTACCTTCCCTCGCCTGGAAAAACACCCGCCACACTTCCAGCAGGGCCAACACCGTTAAGGCCACCCCCGCTAGGGTTACCACCGTTAAGGTTACCACCGTCAAGGTTACCACCGTTAAGGCCACCACCGTTAAGGTCACCAGCACCGTTGGGGCCATTGGCTAAGGCGCTTTCGAGGTCCGGCATTGCACGTTGTTGGGCGTAGTGTTGAATGGCTTGCATCGCGTTGCGGTCGTGGGAAAGAGGCGCGGGTCTCGCCCGAGAGAGAGGCGAGGACCCCCCGAACTGTGGGGTATCAGTCATGGAGGCGCCAGCCGCGACCAAGGGTGAGGCCCGGCTGGCTTTGGCAGAAGTGGGGTCTTCTGCGGAGGGAAACTGTTCGGGCGTCTGTGACCAAGTGGTTTGTGGCCAAGTGGTCTGTGGCCAAGTGGTATGCGGTGAAATGGTATGCGGTGGGGTAGCCTGGGTTTTGGTAAGGGGGCTTGTGCTTGGTCGGACGTTGGATGGCGGTGGATAGGGCGGGATGTCCATCAAGGGTCTGCTTGGACTTGGGTACAAAGGCGACCCGCCTTCTACGGGAAAGGGTCTCTTCTTGCGGCCGTCGGCGTCCCGCAGGTCGCGGGTTCGAGTCTCACGCTCGGGAGAGCGAGACTCGCCGTTGGGAGTACGGTACTCGACGGGTGAGGGGTACGGGGAGTACTCCGGGGGACTCGACGTAGAGGTGGTCGGGGTTTCGCTGTGGTTTCGCGGCGAACGCACATCGCTTGGAGACACGAAATAGAGAGGGCTGCTCCGATGGTGCGGAACTACCTCGTCGTACGGATTTTCATTGCATGCTGCAGTGTGCGTACTATTGGTATGTGCACTGTGGGACTGTGCACTGTTAGTGGTTTTATGTGCGGGGGTACGGCGGTAAAGCGGAGTTTCGGGAGAGGCCGAAGAATCACGGCCGGCGGAGGAGTCCCGGAAAGGGGGAGACTCACGACCGGCCGGAGAGTCGCGGCGGGGGCGGGCTGGTTCGTCCTCGGCAGCCGATCTGGATCTGACTTTGGTTGTTGTAGATTCGTCAATGATTTCTAATGGCTGTCTACTGGGGGTATTGTAGAGCTTGATCACGTTGTTGTAGACGACCTGTCTGCCCTTCCGCGTCTTCTCGCGACTTCTTGACCGATGACGGGAATGCAACCTTCTTTTATTATTGCGCCTAGGACTACTGTCGAACAACGACGACCGCCTGGACTTGACCTTGAGGCGGTCTTCGGAGCATGTCTCCGAAGACATCAAAAGGCTATTTTTCGGGGAGCTAAAATCTACCGACCATATGTTAGCAACGTTATCTACCCCAGCAATCTGACGATCAGAGCACTGACGATCAGAGCACTGACCATCAGAGCACTGACCATCAGAGCCCTGACCACCAGACCTCCGGTGTTGATTGCCGCAGACGTGTCCAGGCCGCTCGCTGTACAGATGGAACACACCTCTCTCTGGCGGACGTGTCAGTCTCGAGTACAAAGTGGGAAACGAGGGATCATTAACCCGCGAGTCAAGTCGGTGCTGGTACTGCCGCGTTGCCTCTAACGCACCCTGACTACTCATCGCTTCAAAATTCTTCACAATCGAGGCATCTGTGCGGCCGTTCCTTCTTCGCACCTCAATAACACTCATCTGCACCTGACGATCTCGCGATGTCGCCTGCCGCCGCCAGGGCAATCCTCCTCCGGACATAATTTTTTTATCAGCCCAACAACACTCTTTGTTTCCGCTGCCTAATGTTAAAAGACGCCTAACAGACACATTGATGAACTATAGACTTGTGTGATCACCTTTTGACCTCACATACGTGTGCACACACACGTGTGCACAGACGTTTATCATTGGTCGGGATAATTAGGATAGATCTTACCAGTTCGTAGTGCCGTCGTTGTTCGTGTCGTCGTTGTTCGTCCAGTCGTTGTTCGTCCAGTCGTTGTTCGTGTGGCACTTTCCCAGCAAGGCGTTTGTAACGTCTTCTCTGACACATAAAGCCGTACAGAGCCAAGCCGCAAGCCAGCGGGAAGCTCACACAAATAATCAGAAGCTGGACCTCGAACAAATTGCCAACTCCGCCGCCTTTCTTGATGTATGCAACAAAACAGTCATAGATCCAACTACCGTCGTCAGCGGCAAGGATCGTCGTATTTCCCATCAATTTCCCCGAATTTAAATATTTGGTCGCGCTGTGAGGAGGTCGCGCTGTGAGGAGGGGAGGTTTACATTACAACAGGGGGGAGATTGGAGACAGGGGGGAGATTGGAGACAAGGAGAGTGGCAGCAAGGAACCAGTAGTCGATTGAAAAATTAGGCATAGTTGACAACATCGGTGCGTCCAGTGGCCACGTTAGCCACTGGTACGGTGGTGGTTCTGACGGCACCCGTGGCGGGTGCGGGTTGGACGTATACGACGGGTCTTTCCTGGTCTAGCCTGTTGGTGCGTGTGCAGCAGAACGTTAGGGCGCCAAGAAGGCAGGCCAGGCCGAGGAGAGCCCACAACACCTGTCCCTTGTTCCAGTGGTACCACCGCACCTGTCCGGGACGATGGTGTATGCCGTACGTAATCAGTCCATCGTCGCCGTCGATTTCAGTTATCGTTGGCTCTCCTAAAAACAAAGCCATCAGCCATACACTACACTACCTACCAAGAGCCACGGTCGCCCACAAAGCCAAACAGGTCAACTTAGACACTACCATTCTACAGGTGCACCTAACAAACACACTGCACCCTCTCTCAACTCAGCAGCCAACACTGCAGGGACGGACTCTCCCGCAACGTAGCCATCCCTAAACGTAGCCATCCCTCTAGACAGAAGTTTTGTATGACATCTGGCTGCCGTGTTGGGCATCGTAATGCCGTGGGGCTCTGTATCCTAGGGTGTGATGCTGGGAGTGTGCGACGAAGGGGCCACGGGATATTTTTTGGGGAAACAAATTCAACAGAAACAAGTTTATCGGAAATGAGTTCACCGGGACAATCTGTGCACCCGGAAATCAAAGGCGAATCGAATGGCGAAGAATACTCCAAGGTTACCCCCTGGGAGGTGCAGGGAGGAGCGGACGGAATCAATTATGACCGACTGGTGTAAGGCCACTACGAGAACTAAAACCGGCAGGCACCTTGAAGCTTTTGCGCGCTCACACACGTGTTTGCGCACACGTGTTTGCAGACGCGCGTGTTTGCAGACGCCGCGCGTGGGCGCATCCAAAATGAAAAATTGATTTTAGGGATCAGTTTGGATGTGAAAAGTTGACTCCAGAACTAATTGAGCGATTCAAAAAAGTTACAGGGACGGAGCTGCATCCCTTCTTGAGAAGGGGGTTGTTTTTTGCGCATCGAGATTTGGATACGATCTTGAAGGCAAAGGAAGAAGGCAAGCCGTTTTATTTGTACACGGGTCGAGGACCTAGTTCGGATTCTTTGCATGTTGGGCATTTGGTGCCTTTTATGATGATAAAATGGTTGCAGGAAGTATTTGATTGTCCTCTTGTGATTCAGTTGACTGACGACGAGAAGTTTTTGTTTAAGGAAGGGCTTTCGTTGGAGGATTGTCAGGAGTATGGTTTTGAGAATGCTAAGGACATTCTAGCAGTTGGGTTTAATGCTGAGAAGACGTTTATTTTTCGAGATGTGGATTACATACAGGACTTATATCCAACGACTTTGAAGATTCAGAAGAAGACTACATTTAATCAAGTGAAGGGAATTTTTGGGTTCAATGAGAGTACGAATATTGGTTCTATTATGTACCCAGCAATTCAATGTGCGCCTTGTTTCCCAAGTGCGTTTCCCCGATTTTTGGGTGACCCGTCGATTACTAGCAAGTGTATGAGATGCTTGGTTCCATATGCTATAGATCAGGATCCATATTTCCGAATGACTCGTGATGTAGCACCACGTTTAGGATGGGAAAAGAATAGTTCGTTGATATCTAAGTTTATCCCTGCCTTGCATGGTTCTGAAAGCAAGATGAGTGCCTCCGGACCAAATAGCGCTGTTTTCCTCACAGATACCCCAAAACAAATCAAGACTAAAATCAACAAATACGCATTCAGTGGTGGGAAAGATACTGCCGAGGAGCAACGGAAGTATGGGGCCAACCTTGAAGTTGATGTCAGCTATCAATACCTCAAGGTGTTCCTTGATGACGATATCGAACTCGAAGATATTGGACGGAAGTATAGTAGCGGCGAATTACTAACAGGCGAAATAAAAGCCAAACTTATTCAAGTCCTTCAAGATCTAGTCGCTAAACATCAACAAGCCAGAAGCAAAATCACTAACGACGTTGTTAGACATTACTTCAACCCCGACCGTCCTGCCCTTCGGAGACAGATTGAAGAAGCCTGTAAAGTCTACCTTGCTACGTCCAAGAATTCAGACCACAAGGCCGAGATGAAAAAAGATGGGAAGGGTAAGAAAACAAAATCAAACCACAAACAGCCGGACGATGAATAGTTAGTTGGACGATGAATAGTTGGACGATGAATAGTTGGACGACAAATTGTTGGACGACAAACAACAGGCCTGACTGAGTCTAGTCGTACGTTGCCTGGTACTTTTTATAACCCGTTATGGCAGTTGTTCTTGTGACATAGTAGCTGTGGCGCAGTTGTTATGACACAGTTGCTTACCTCCCATTTTATCGAAACCCTGTTCCATGCCAACCCTGTTCCATGCCAACCCTGTTCCATGTCAACCCTGTTCATCTAGATAGCCCTGAAGGATTCATTGTGCGTTCATTGAAACAGGTCAAGAGTGTTAACGGGTGATGGATGACTGGTCCATGAAGTGGCCTGCATCAGATGCCTCGACCGGTAAAATGTGATTTGCCAGTTCAAGGATCCAGGCTTGCATGCCCCCTTTGCTGACGGTAGGGGCAGATGTTAGACTGAAGACCCTTTCCTTAGGCGGGTCGATGAAAAGACGATCGAATAGTCGGAGATTGGAGCCCTTTGTGAGGTAACGGCATAGCATGTCTTCGAAACCGTGAAGCGGGATGGGTTTGTCGGTAATGTCCAGCTTCAGCTCTTCCTTCTGGGCGTCAGTAAGCAAAATATTGCTGTCATCTCGTAGCACTAACTTGAGCGTGGCTCCAAGACCGTCCTGGCCGGTAGACTGGCCTGCAATGAGGGATTGAGACTGGCCTGCAATGAAGGATTGAGACTGGCCTGATGGCAATGGCCGACCTTGCTGCAAAGACTGACCTGGCGGCAGAGATTGACCTGGTGGCAGAGACTGACCTGGCGGCAGAGACTGACCTGGTGGCAGTAACTGACCTGGTGGCAGTAACTGACCTGGTGGCAGTAACTGACCTGGTGGCAGTAACTGACCTGGTGGCAGTGACTCGGTAGCAATGAAGGCTCCTCTGTGACTGACATGGGATGTCGGTCTTGATAGCACCGTTGCATACCATACCAGCGAGGTTCGGGAATCCGGGGACAGAGGCCACTCAGTGCCTTGAGCATCCTAACCAAAAAGTTACTTGCCCCGCAATTTGGACCCAGCTACAGCAAGTGCTCCGCAATTTGGACCCAGCAAGTGCTCGGGTAGCTTACTAGGAGGGTGGCAGAACTGATTATCCAGTCTGGAGGTATATCTTTTTTGCCGTCTGAGATGTGCAGTAGATAGGTAGCTACTTGTAGATCAGAGCAAACATTGAATGGGTAAAGTATATCTGTAGGCCTGTTGTTTTTTACTACGTGAATTTTCATACGAATTTTTTGACAATTGTGTCAAGTCCATTAGCAAATCTATTGTTCAGAAAATTATCGGTTTTTTCGAGAATATTTTGAACCAACCAAATCAATGCACGACCACGAGCAGTTGACATGAAGAGCTTCGGCTGATCTCTAATAAAGTCAGGCAGCTCGTAATTAACCAAGCTGCGATCGCCCTTCTTCTTCATTGCCCACAAGACATCCTGTGTAAAATGGTTGCAATTGCATTGGATCAAATCGTAGCTTTCCGGAGTATATTTGTGGCGCAGGCTTTTCACGATTCTACAACATAATGGGTGTGGACACACGTGTGTGGAAACACTTGTGTGAAAACACTTGTGTGAAAACACTTGTGTGGAAACACTTGTGTGGAAACACTTGTGTGAAAACACTTGTGTGGAAACACTTGTGTGTTAGTGGGCCCAGTTAAGTCGCGTTTCTTTTTGTGGAGATATAGTAATACGCGTAGGGTTAATGGTGTTTTTAGTACCTGTGTATTTGATGTTCTGATAAGCTCGTCTTGCCGAGATAGAATATGTGCTTCAATTCTATAGCAAATTTTTTCTCCACCACATCACTATCCACCGCCATGGGCCCGTCACAGTAAAATCTTTCTTTGCCATAGGTTAGAATAGATGTGTGCCACACCCCTTCTATGTCAAAACCAGCGGCGAGCTTCACTACCTTATGAGCACGACCTTCAGTAATATCGTAAACTTTTAGGAAGACATCTTCAGGATCCTTATGCAGAAGAAGTTCCATAAGCTGTCTATCACCCTCTTTTCTTAACCACCGTCGCGTCTGCGGGGGCAGTGTTTCCTCGGAAGTGATACTGGCCCCGGCTCCAATTCGACTGGAAGGATTCTCTAGACCGCCATTTCGTGTTGCACATCGACTAGGAATTTGTTCGTATAGACGCACCAATGACCCAGCTTTCCGCGGGCTCAGGGAGTTATCGCGACACTCACTTGTATCAGCTTGGTATATTGTATCCGGCGCTGAGCCGTCCCGGAATGTCTCAATAGCTCTGTAGGTTTGCTCACCGGTATCTCCAAGCAAACTGTGATCAAAAACTCGCCGCCATACCGGGGGGTCAGTGATGCTCAAAGGGGGCGACGAAACGTAAACGCCCCGAATCCTGCGATGGCGGTTGTCCCTGCGTGTATCTGGGTGATCAGGGTAGCAGCAACAGCAAGGAAACGGCATCGACCGCCAAAAAAACGCCGAACCAACAAATTCGCACCCACCTTCCAGCCAGCCCTTTGCCCCACCTTCCAGCCAGCCCTTTGCCCCACCTTCCAGCCAGCCCTTTGCCCCACCTTCCAGCCAGCCCTCTGCCCCACCTTCCAGCCAGCCCTCTGCCCCACCTTCCAGCCAGCCCTTTGCCCCGCTTCCCGGCTAGCTACCCTTTGCCCCACTTTCCAGCCAGCCCTTTGCCGAGGACCAAGTCGCAGCCAGCGAGGACTCAGACCAAGTCGCAGCCATTGAGGACTCAGACCAAGTCGCAGCCATCGAGCGACGACTCAGACCATTCGGAGCGCATGTAGTTGAGATTTTTTGGGGGGGGGGGGTTGGCCTTAGAGAACGTGCCATTTTTGGATAATCACACATTTAATGAGTACCAAAGGTGGAAGGAACTCCAGGGCGTCAATCGATCTGTTGGTGATTGAGGATAAGCCCGGGGAGGCTCCGCTGTCGCGCGGGCTAAGCATTAAGCTCAGTCCGCCCGACGAAGCCGGCGACAACCAGACATTGACCAGCATGGAGGTAACCAGCGATCCCTCCCTCCCCCTCCCCCCCCCTTCCCCCCTTCCCCCTTCGCCGTGTCCTGAGCCGCCATTCCCCGTGTCCTTAGTCGTTCAAGACAGTGAGTTCTGCTAGTTCTGGGACTTTCTCCATTGATATTCCCGTGCCGGATGCTTCGAAGAAGTTGAATGATTTGTGTGACACAAATGAGCGTTATATGCACCAGCCTGTGCCTTTGAACCGGACAGAGAGTCGTTTGCCTAGTTTGGAGGACATGCTTCAGGACGAGCAGTTGAAGGAGTCGGTGGTGATGAAGGGTAGTAACCATGCGACGTTGAATGAATTAGCAGACTGTATAGGTGACAAAGCGAATCGGTTTAACAAGTTGAAGGATTTTATGGCGAAGCAAGCTCGAGATGAGGCTTTCGACTTGGGTAAACTTCCAAGGGAGCCACGGCGAACATTCATTGAGATGGTGTGCTTATTAGTAAGACAACAGCTCATGAAGACAGTGGAGTTTTATCGCACACTGGAATCAATGAAAGAGGAGGGAAGTATATCCTGTATCGGCGAGGCTATGTCGGAAGGACCCCATGAGTATACAATTGATCGCTGGGCGGTTATATCCGTCTGTCTTGGCATCTTAAGGAACGCGATAAAGCCAAATGATTCCGAAAATTCTTCCGCAACAGAAATACAAAATTTCATCTGGGAGGAACAGGTTGCGCAAACTATTATACGACGGCGAGATCTATTCGCTATCTGTTACGATATGGCAGAGAAGCACAAGCAGCAGAGCAGTGAATTAACACCGTATGTATTGGAAGTGGCAAACACGCTACCTAAGAACTTATTTACGTTTCTTTCAAATCTCATGGTGGATCGAGATGACTTACGGGACAAATTATTGCAGCTTATGTGGCCAACCGCTTATTGGACTTTTGCCTACATTTCAGGTGCCAAGTTCCTCGATTCGTTCTGTTTGCTATTACAGACACACACCGCGCTCTTAGTATCCAAAACATGCACTGTCAATGAGGATGACACCGAGCATGTGAAAAAGCTCAAAACGGACTTCACAAACATGACGTTGACGGAAAGCCAAGCTAAACGGGCTGGCTACTCCAAAAGTCTCTTGACAAGCTTTGCAGACTTGTACGGATATATGTTGATTCTCGTTAATCAAAAACATTCCAGAGCCGCCCGGCGTCAGCAAAAAAGCCGCCATGCCACTATAGCCGGACGCGCAATCCAGGCGGAAGCCGTTAGCGAAGAATGGTTCGCTTTGTTCCAGCTACGACTACTCAGTCTGGGAGAAGGGCGCTCCGTTATATTGCTTTGCAGGAATTTGCTACACCACCCATACATCCCCAAACTGCCTAAGGACCTACAGGAACTGGGCTGGCTGGCGGAACACAACGTACCCACCACGGCTACAGGCCCTGGCTACCAGGTGGCCACGCTGCTCTATGCTCTCAGTGAATATGCCACTATCGATGATGACATTCTGGCGAGGGCTAAGAGAGGCGAGAAATTGATCACGTCCAGAGACAACGCCAATCAAGTCGTCAACAGGAAGTGGAACATGGTCCGCAGGTCCTTTCTAAAACCTGTCGTGATCGAATACATCACCGACTTGGTTAAGGAAGGCATCAAGGGGGTGGCCATCAGCACGCACTCCAGTAAAGAGCCGCACACGGAACTTTCGCAAGACGGTTTGGAGAGCCATGTTGGGTCGGAGGGCCACGTCGGTTTGGAGAGCCATGTCGGGTCGGAGAGCCATGTTGGGTCGGAGAGCCATGTTGGGTCGGAGAGCCACGTTGGGTCGGAGAGCCACGTTGGGTCGGAGAGCCATGTCGGGTCGGAGAGCCATGTCGGGTCGGAGAGCCATGTCGGGCCGGAGAGCCATGTCGGGTCGGAGAGCCATGTTGGGTCGCACGCAGTCAGGAATTTGAGTAAGGTGGTTCGACCGGGTATGAAGGCATTAACGAGCATGATACTAGCCCCGGAGTTGGTGAACCTGAAGAGCTCTCTTAAGCCGGGAATGTTGGAGGACTTGTGGAATTTCGGTTGGGACTTGTTGGAAGCTACGACGGGCGATTTGAGAGAGTATGCTGTCAAGATTAACACTGCCGAGGCATCAACCCTCCCCTTTGTCCACCGGTGCAATCTCTACTCGCCCCGAGACATCCTCATCCTGATCTCAGCCATCGCGACGGTCGATCCGCAGTTGAAGACGCAAGTCACCAAAAAGCAAATCAGTACTGCTTTACAATTCCAAATTTTCCAAGACGTTGACATCGGTTGCGACGAAGCTAGCATTGTCGCCATTAAGGTACTAGCGGAAGACTCCAGCACTGTCCAGGATTATATTCGACAGGTGAAACAAGAAAGCGGCAGGTCAGAACTTACCGCGGAACAAAATTAATGATTTTTTTGTTAGAACGTAAACCGGACATTTAACTTGTTACTCACCTGCGCTTGTTGGTCACCCGTGGGCGACATCCTCATGGGTTGCACATTTGTTTGCGTGCACATTTGCGCGTGGCACATTTGATAGAATGGGGAATTACCAATCTCAATTGGATGCAGTAACGAAGGACGTGCAGGGCCGGATAATGAAGTTGGACCTGGTGCGTGATTTGAACCGGATGGCAGTGGAGAAGCTCCAGCAGGAGCCTCACCGTCTACAGAATGCGCAGTTTCCCGCAGGCATCGACGGCTTCGAAGCGGCCAAAAACTTGTTGTCTGCGCTAAGTCAAGAATTACGCAATAAATCACAAGGCGCAGATCAGGCTCTGCGTCGCGGAGACAGTCTCGGTGCCCAGAAACTCGTGGAGGAGGCCGAAGGCAAAGTGGAGGAACACAACCAAGTCGCCGACTTGGTTCGTAAAATGGCCGATATAGCATTGGAACACGGCTCCGGATACGCCGCCACGATGTCCCAACGTGCCGTTAAGACCATGATCCCGGCACCTGTACGTTATGGGGTGCTCTGCGTTGGCCATACCTGTTGCCTGCCATATTGGGACTCGAAGTATGACGCGTGGCTCTACTAAACGACTCTACTAAACGAGTCTACTAGAACCACTCTACTAAACCACTCTACTTAACGGCCATAGTTTTTCTACCAACCTTCGACGAGTCTACGACAAGTAGCTAACTACGATCTACGGCCATGGATACCGATCTACGGCCATGGGATTGACTGAAGCCCACAGTAAGCATGCGTTTGGTTTGGCCGGAAATCTGGGCGTTACCTTGGTTGTTGGGTGCGGAGCAGCCTACGGACCCATGGGTGGTGTTGTACGTTGAGGATTGGCCGGTGTGGGTTCGCGAGTTCGGATTTGGAACGGTGGAGAAATACGTGTTAAGCCGGGACCTGCCGGTGACGAATATTGCGTTGCAAATTGCGTTTACTCAGTTTAACCCGAGTACGTGCGAGATGTTGGCGACTGATGCAGACGCCGATTTCTCCAAAGAGGACCCTGAGAACTTGGTTCCGGCAGGTTGGCCAGCGGGTAACCCCGACGGTACGGAGACAGGAGCTGCTGGGGGAAATATACCGGCCGCGCAAGTGATAAAGAGCCGTTACCCCTACATCAAGCTTATTCCTTCCATAGGAGGTTGGTCTCGATCACATACATATCATGACTGTTTGACCAACAGAATGGACGAGACTATTAACAACTTGGTGGAAACTGTTCGTGTGTGGGGTTTCGATGGAGCTGACTTTGATTGGGAGTATCCAGAATGTGAAGGTGGGTGTGGCTGTCAGGGTGAAGAGACCTGTATTAACTCCTCTAATGTGGCGGCACATGGCGATTGGGAATTATATAAGACCTTCATAATGAAGCTCCGTGCAAAATTTGACGAATTAGAAACCAAGGTTGGGCGTAAACTGATGATCAGTGGTGCCTTTGGTATGAATCCAAAACTTATTGATGGCGGTAACGAGACATGGCAAGATCCTACGCCTTGGGAATGGCTGTGTGATGAGGGCTACTTCGATTTGCTAAATCTTATGACCTATGACTTTTATGGACCATGGGCTCCTCAAGTCGCCCCCCTGGCGCCGCTATACAGTGACCCGGAGGGCCCCACGGAGATGATGTCATGTGACGACAGTATCCAACGCATCCTGCCACGTTGCAGCCATCCCGAGCGGCTGCTAATGGGACTGGCGACGTACGGCAAGGTGTGGAAAGATGTGCCCAAAGAAGGCACCCCCCCAGGCATGTACAAGAATAGCACTAACAATGCACCTATGGGACCTGGCTCTTGGGAACTTGGCACTATTAGCATCTGGGACACAGTGCTGAACGTAGAACCCGTCTGCGAAGTCGCTATGCACGACACAACCAAGACCAAGGCGGCATACTGCGACACCATGCCCGCACAGGCAGACTCGGCCGCAGCTGGTAACGGTCCCGCACGCACGGCTGACAAAGTCTTCATCTCCTACGAAGACGGCGATACCTGGAAAGAAAAAATGGCTTACGCCAAGGAAAAGGGAATGGGTGGGGCTATTATCTGGGCTGCGTCCGACATGGGCAACGGCAAGACCCAGGGAACCGTCGCCGAGGGCCTACTCAACGGGCTCTTCAGCGGCTGGTACGGCTCCGACTACAAGGTTGGCCCTGTTAACCCTCACAGCGGCACCTGGCCCACCTTCAACAAGTGGCCCTGGTACCCCTGCCCGTTCTCCCACACCATCAGCAAGGATACCAACCCTGCCGACTACCTCTGTCCAGATCTCTCCACACTACCGGATTTCACACCGCTCCCAACTGCCAGCGACACTATCGATACCGGCAAAGATGGTCATTCACCCGGACCTGGACCAACCACCGATCCAGGCGGCGATACTGACCCAACCGGTAACACCAACGCCACTGATCCAAGCGGCGATACTGACGCCACTGACCCAAGTGGCAACACTGACGGTACAAGCGCCCCCGCCCCTAGCACCAGCAAGGGCGAAGGTTGGTGGACAGACAGTCCCAACAACAACAATAGCTCGCCACACGCTCTCACCCTCACACTCGCCTCCGGAGTCCTCCTGGTCTCTTGTCTAGCCTTTTATCCGTAACCCAATCACACACACTTTTGCAGCACACACTTTTGCAGCACACACTTTGGGCCCCCGGCAGCTCACACACCCCTCCCTGCCGGTTGACAATTGCCACTTTCTCCCTCTCGTCCGCGCGGCGTAAATTAAATCGGCGCCAGATGAGTTCTTGTCCGTCGGCCAAATTCGAGGCCTACTACCGAGAGATTGGTTTATGCCATAGCGATGAGGACTGGAACCAATTGGTGACCTGCCTGCAAACGCCGCTCCCCATTTCCTTTCGGATCTTGCGAAACACGATTCACGAAAAGTGGGTCAAGTCGTTTCTGGAGACAAACCAGCAGGCCCTGAGGAAGCTGGGAAAGGCCGATATGTTGGAGCCTCTGCACTTCCTGACCGCGTGTTCCACCAACTCTAGCATTGCCACCGAGGCCGGCGTTGTCAAGACGGCCGCTGCGGCTGGGTGTATGACGGAGGGATGGGTTTTGAAGGCGTCGCGTGCAGAGTTGCGCCAACACGCAGAGCTAAAGGGTTTGCGAGAGTTTTTGGTGAAGCAGTCGGAAAATGGTGTGGTGATTCGGCAGGAGGTAGTAAGTATGGTGCCGGCATGTTTCTTGATACAGGATCTGGAGTCGGATGAGGCACTACTACTGGACCTGTGTTCGGCACCTGGTAGTAAGACATCGCAGTTGCTGGAGGCGTTGGAGGCGAAGAAACCGGCAAGTGTGCGGGACATTCGAGGCGCGGTCGTAGCGAATGACTTAAACTCGACCCGAGCCCACATGCTTGTTCACCATCTCAAATATCAAGCGTCCCCCGCCCTCATGGTTACTCTCCACAACGCAGGTCTCTTCCCTCGACTCTGGGAACACCCGGTCCCGAACCCAGCATCAGACCCGAACCCAGCATCGGACCCGAACCCAGCATCGGACCCGAACTTAGTTCCGGCCGTGCCGGAGTGTGTCAAGTTTGATGGAGTATTATGCGATGTGCCGTGTTCAGGTGATGGCACGATCCGGAAAGCGCAATCGATATGGAAGCGATGGAATAGCAATGATGGAGTGTACTTACATGCATTGCAATCGCGCATTCTAAAGAAGGGGTTGACTTTGTGTAAGGTGGGTGGTCGTGTAGTATACTCGACATGTTCTTTGCACCCAGTTGAGAACGAGGCGGTCGTGGCAGCTATATTGAGAGTTTCTTGTGGCGCAGTCGTCGCCGAGAAGGTGCATGTGCCCGGACTTAAGACGCGTCCGGGCCTGGCCAGTTGGCGAATCCGTTTTAAAGATTTATGGTTCGACTCTCTTGAAGATGTGCCGTCTCACTGGCAGGGCAAAAAAATCCTCAGCTCGATGTTCCCACCACCTGAACCAGATCTCCAAGCCATTCTCGAAGATCGCTGTCTCCGCTTCTACCCACAAGACAACGATACCGGAGGCTTCTTCGTAACCGTCTTTAGGAAAGTAAGCGAACTACCTTGGGAATTCGGACTCCCCAGCCGGCCATTTTCCGCAACGGAACCGCTGCCAGGGGTCGAAGAAGATCAGGGGGAGGAAGACCAGGAGGAGGTGGGCCGTAAGGAGGTGGACCGTAAGGAGGTGGACCGTAAGGAGGTGGACCGTAAGGAGGTGGACCGTAAGGAGGTGAACTCTAAGGAGGCGATCCGTAAGGAGGCGGATGTGGACCCGAAGGAGTCGAATGGAGAACCCAGAACCGGACTAAGGTCGCTTCACGAAAGAACGTTTTACAACCAGTTGGATTTGAGCTGTATTGCTTCGGGATCAACGACTCTGCGGGATCGTCTGAATCAATGGGCGTTTAAGCCATTCGGAGTACCTCTCAGCCCTGACTTGGAACAGAAACTTTGGTACCGCGAGAAGGAGAAAGAGCCAGTGTTGATACCGCCGAAAATCTGGTATCTATCGGAGGGGGTGAGACGGTTGCTAAAGACCCAGACGCTCCACCGACCGCTTCGAGTCCTTCATGCTGGTAGCATCTGCGTCAACTCTCATGGACCAGAGTCGTGCCGATTCACTTCTGATGGATTCTTGAAGTGTGCGAACGTAGGGAGGTTATCCGATCAGTTGGATAAGACGGTTGAGATCAGGGGCCAGCCTCTTTTCATCCGTATCGCCGAGCAGACCATTGTAGTAAGTAAGCAAGACTTGAAGTTATTGATAGACTTTGGCGCTGTTGTTTCTTCGTCTGCAACTGAAGGTCCTGTCCAGTTGGATAAAGATGGCTACCAGTACCGACTCCATTACAACTCTCTGACGGAAGACAACCGATTAAGGCGCTGGCTAGGATCTCTGGATGTTGGCAAACACTACATGGTCATCTGCGGCCTGACTGGAGATCCATCTAGACCATGCCAAGTACTGAGTGACCTTGCGCACGATAATATTGCCGTAAGTCTTCACCTTCTACCCTTACCTTCCAACTTGTCCTACCACTAACATCCTCCTTTAGTGCTGCATGTATCTTGGACGACAGAACGTCGAAGTTCTGGTTACAAACAGCGTTCGAGAAGCTCTAAAATGCTTGCTATGACAGCTCTAAAATGCTTGCTATGACAGCTCTAAAATGCTTGCTATGACAGCTCTAAAATGCTTGCTAGTACCGCGACACACATATACTTAGACACATATAGTTAGACACACACACACACATGGGTATAACATCAAAAACATTGTCAACAAAGCCACTGTTAAGGACTATGCCACTGTTAAGGACTATGCCACTGTTAAGGACTATGCCACTGTTACTTTTAAGTTGTTGCGAATATATTGTCGCTGTACTTTCTGTTCATAAACTACTTGGGTAAAAAGCATTAAATATATTGAACCTTCAGATGTTTCTTCTCAGCCTTTGCTAAGAATTTCTTGACGTTACCGTCATTGGACTTAGCAATCTGATCCTTTCTAATAATAGGGAATGTCTTCTGATCATTCGGATTGGTTCTGGCACCGATAGCAATAGTCGCTAGAAGGAGAATAGAGTAGAACTGCATTTGCTATTAGAAGGCTTGAGTCGAAGACTTGAGTCGAAGGGTTGATTGTTAGTTAAAAGACTTCTTGTAGACTTAACTTTTTTGGTAGATTGACAATTGTCCTACGGGTAAAGAAAATATGTGGAGGGTGAATAATAAACATAGAATACTTCAGGTTATGCGACATGATGTCGATCTGTGATATCATACAATCGTAATAAAGGTGGGTGATGTGTCTGCTTTCTACAATCTCTGCAACACCCTGTACGGGCGAGATGACTACGGGCGAGATGACTACGGCCTAGGAGACGACAGTCCACGCTCCTACCGTCAGCTGACGTCGGAGGACAAGTCAAATCGACTTGAAGAAGGGATCGACCGGTCAAATCGACCGGTCAAATCGACCTACTTATCCAGCCCGGAAATTGTGTCAGAAAAGTCACGAGTTGGATACATAGAGATGGTCCGGCAATGCCACCCAAGACCGCAAGCTTGATGGTCCGGCACTGCCACCCAAGCTTGATAGGATGACCGGTTTCCGCTGTCGCATGTGTGTGCAGAGTGAGGTCACTCAATGGATAGTGGAATTCGCTAATCGGTGGGTGATAGTGGATCGGTGATAGTGGATCGGTGATAGTGGAGTTCACTAATCGGTGGGATAAAGCTCCCTAATTGGCGTGGTGAAGTTCCCTAGTTATCGCTTGTGGGCGATATTTTTGGGCCAGAAATTTCTGATGTCTCGAGCGATGCGAAGTCCGAAATGTTCGGCGGAAAGCAGGAGTTTAACAACATTGTTGAGCGTAGTCCAGTTGTTGTCTGATGCGCCATTTATGGTCAGTTTCTCGGATATGGAGACCCTGTTAGCGGCTGGTCAGGCGAGTGCGAAAGTGAGGCTTCCTTTACGTTCTTCGATTTTATGTCCGTATATGCTCGAGTCTTCTTTCCCTGCTGGAACCTATACGGAGAGAAATAAGGGCCTGATTGTTAACTGTGGAGAGATGGAGGAGATGTTATCGATAGTGGCTCGGGACGTATCTCGGGAAAAAATAAATTGGTGGTGTCGACGACTGAGCAAAGGTCATGTGGTCGTAGGTGACTTTGGGATCAAGAACAGTAATGGCGAAAAGTTGGTCGCAGTTGTGCCCTTTAAGACGACGCAGAGTGTCTTAAAGAAACAGCTGCACGGCAATAAGCTCGTATTCCATGCTTTGGGATCGCAGAGGACACAAAATACAAGGCTGAGCCTGCGGACCAAGGAACAGGAAGGCGAGCTGCCGGTAACCTCGTCAGGGATCGTTGCACTTCTGGATCATGCATTCACATTAGATTCCCGCCTCAACCGCTCAGAAAATCTGCCCTGTTCGGGTCTTACTATCATTGCGCCGGTGCTGGACTACGCAATGAGCAGCATGATGAAACATCCCGATCCTAGCCGGACGGTCCGTCTTGAAAACAGTGAGCTACACTGGCGAGTACGGGACGCCCAAATATGGCCGTTGGAAATGCTGAAACTGTCAGAAAACCGACAGTTCGTTTGCGACTTAGAAAAGACAGAAAAAGAACTTATTACGAACCAACTACGGGACAAGAGAAAGCGCCAGTCGTTGTCCAGGTGTCCCAAACTTCGTGACCACATCTCCATCGCCGGCTGGGATGCGGAGTCCTACCGTGCTGACGCCCTCAACTTACACCGTTTTGCTTCTGCTTGTCTCCGATGGGTCGTGCCCAATTCGTCTCTTCAATCCGCCCTCGTTGAAGCCCTCAACGAGTGTTGGGACGACCCTAACAAGGCGACCGACCTGTTCCACCACATCATCTTTTCTGAATAAGCAATCAACACACTTGATACGACACACACAATGCCACACACGGTTTTACCACCACACCAGTACTCCAGCCTCCTCAAGGCATCCGGTTTTACTGTAATTCTACACGCTAGACCACCCGAACAAATGAAGAATATATCCGCGGTGAGTTTTCGAGCCAGAAATGTCACGGTCGATGCGGAGTGCTGCAAGTTCAGTCAAGCGGAAGAATTCGGTGACGTTGTTGGCCGTAGTCCAGTTGTTGTCTGATGCACCATTTATGGTCAGTTTCTCGGACATGGAAACTTTGTTAGCGGCTGGTCAGGCGAGTGCGAAAGTGAAGGTTCCTGTACGTTCTTCGATTTTATGTCCGTCTATGATGGAGTCTTCTTTCCCTACTGGAACCTATACGGAGAGGAATAAGGGTCTGATTGTTAACTGTGGAGAGATGGAGGAGGTGTTGTCGGCAGTGACTCGGGGTGTTCCTCGAAGAAAGGTAACTTGGTGGTGTCGGCGATTGAGCAAAGGTCAAGTCGTCGCAAATGACTTCGGGATCACAAACAGCAGGGGCGAGAAGTTGGTGGCAATTGTGCCCCTCAAGACACAGCCAAAGAAGTCCGGCTGTCCGGGGTCTGGTTACCGGGTATGTGGCTGCAAGCTTGTATTCCACGCTCTGGGTGACTTGCCCACGCAGAACAGTCGATTGGGGTTACAGCAGAAACTGCAGGAAGACGGCTTTCGCTCACCGTCTGGCATCGTTTCCCTTCTGGACTACGAATTTACGGTCGACTACCGGATCAACGGCACAGAGAACCTGCCCTGCTCGGGTCTTAGCATCATTGCACCAGTGCTCGACTACGCAATTCGCTGCATGAAAAAACCGCCCGATTTGAGACGTGCGATACGTCTCGGAACCGGTGCCTTAGAGTCGTATGTGCCGGATGCGCAAATATGGCCGCTAGAAATGCTCGAGCAGAGAGTTAATCGGCAGTTCGATTACGACGAAGCAAAGACAAACGAACAACTTCTCATGAGACACCTCCGGACCGCGAAAAGGTACGAGTGCCTGTCGAGGTGTCCGAAACTGCGGGACCACATCTCCCTCGCTGGCTGGGATGCCGAGTCGCACTCCGCAGACGCCCTTAACATGCACCGTTTTGCTTCTGCTTGTCTCCGTTGGGTCGTGCCCAACTCGGAGCTGCAAAACGCCATCATCGAAGCTTTGAACGACGGCTGGGACAGCCCTGAGAAGGCACCCGGCCTGCTGAACGACATCATCTTTGGTGAACAAGGGACCAGTTGTTAGATACCGCCGCAACCCAGGTTCGAATCGTCTCTATGTCGCTGTGACATTCTTGCCCAACGATAATGCTCCAACAGGACTAGGACGATTTCTGCCATAACACCCTCCACGGGGTTGGGGTGTGATGCGCCGGTAACGGGGCTGCGGCAAAGCAGAGTAACCTGCTCGTTCCTGGCTTTGTTTTTAGACCCAAATAAACATCGAACGGCACCCTAAAAGTGAACGGGTAAACCCGCGATAATACTTGATTCCTTAAAGCACGACATCATCATCTTCTTCTCTGCTGATGAGCCGCCACACGAACCCCGACACAACTCATCCCAGTAGTTACAAACGTATGGCCAACTACCTGACATCACCGCCATCAACAGCAACACCGAACCCAGGGACAGCGGCAACAGCAATGCCCCAGCTCCCCCAACCCGTCACAGACAACCCCGCCGAAACGACAGTGAGCCGTCAGGGTGTGACACCGGGATTTGTGCCCTCGGGTCACACCAGACTAGTTGCCCACAGGTACTGGATCTGAGGCCTGTCTGAGAGATCCAGACCACGGCTACGGGTGACCGACACCCGCCGAGTGTGCCGAGTGCGCAGAGGAACGGGGTCGGGAGGCGACATCCAGCTGGGGGCCAACTAGGTGGCGAGTAGACCCACCCAGCATTCCGACGGAAGAGTCTGTTCGCTTGCATACTGAAGGCTTTCGGAGGCGGAGATCGGGCCGGATCTCGTCCGGAGAGGCCCGGGGGGATACGAGGGAGTGTTGGGGTCTCTCGTGAGGCTCGGGGAGAAGTGTGGTGTCTGACCCAGAAGAAGGTGTTACAGACGAATCGAGAGCTCTCGAGTGGAAGAATGACACTATTGCTAACGCGCGGGGTGCGCGGGGAGTGCACGTTGTTGAACCACGTTACTGGCCAGCGACGAGGATTGTGGGCCAAGAGACGTGTTACCGACAGAGTACCCTCCCTCGTCGGGTTTTCGAAGACAAATCGAGTTTTGGTTTGTGACCGGCCGAATTCGGGGTCTTTTTTCGACTATCAGAAAGTCCGCTCACGAGCTGATGAATCGCAGGTGGTACGGTACAGGGCGTGGATCGATTCTAACGTGTGGCTCGGAAGAATGTGGGAGAAGGCATGTCTGGCGCAACCATGTTTGGTAAGGGGTCAGATCAGAGGCGGGGCAGCGGGGGTGATCCGCCGATTCTAATCTACAAGGGACACCTTAGAGTCACCCGCAACAAACGACCGACAAATGCGAATCCTTTTTTGGGGCGGAAATGTCACGATCGATGCGCAGTGCTAGAAGTTCAGTCAAGAGGAAGAGTTCGGTGACGTTGTTGGCCGTAGTGCAATTGCTGTCTGATGCGCCGTTTATGGTCAGTTTCTCGGACATGGAGACCTTGTTAGCGGCTGGTCAGGCGAGTGCGAAAGTGAGCCTTCGGTTGGGGTCAGAGATTTTATGTCCGTACATGATGGAATCTTCCTTCCCTGCTGACACCTATACGGAGAGGAATAAGGGTCTGATTGTGAGCTGTAAAGAGGTGGAGGAGGTGTTGTCGGTGGTGGCTCGGGGTGTTCCTCGAAGAAAAGTAACTTGGTGGTGTCGGCGATTGAGCAAAGGTCAAGTCGTCGCAGGTGACTTCGGGATTAACAACAGCAGGGGCGAGAAGTTGGTGGCAATTGTACCTTTCAAGGCACAGCCCAAAAAGTCCGGCTGTCCGGAATCTGGTTACCGGGTATGCGGTTGCAAGCTTGTGTTTTACGCGGTGGGGGGCTTGCCCACAAAGGATAGTCGGCAGGAGGGAGAGCAGGAGTCGCAAAAAAGAGGGCGGAAACGGGGTTTGCCCTCGCCGTCTGGGATCGTTTCCCTTCTGGACCGGGAATTCACGCTCGACCACCGGATCAACGGTACAGGAGGGGACCTGCCCTGCTCGGGTCTTAGTGTTATTGCCCCAGTGCTGAATTACGCAATTCGCTGCATGAAGAGACCGCCAGATGTAAGACGTATGTTACGTCCCGGAATCGGTTGCATGCAATGGCCAGTACGTGATGCGCAAATATGGCCGCTAGAACTGCTCACACAGATCCCCAATGGTGAATTCGAGTCTGACAATGCAAGAACTAACGAAGCGCTTCTCATGAGTCACATACGGGCCACGAAAGGGTATCAATCCCTGTCCAGATGTCCCAAACTTCGCGACCACATCTCCCTCGCCGGCTGGGACCCGGAGTCGTATTCCACGGACGCCCTCAATATGCACCGTTTTGCTTCGGCTTGTCTCCGTTGGGTCGTGCCCAACTCGTCTCTACAAATCGCCATCATCAGAGCCCTGAACAGCAGCTGGGACTACCCTGAGAAGACACCCGGCCTGCTTGACCGCATCATTAACTCTAAATAATCCAGGTGAAGTACTCGAATCGAAAACCCAGGTTCGAATCTTATCCGTGTCACTGTGCCGACTTGGATGTCTTCGATGAAGATAGCGTGAATCTTAGTTTAGTGAAATTCGAGACTCGATGGACTCATGAGTCGCAAGCTGTACATGATGCAGACCGTGTGTGGAGGGCAAGCCGTGCATGATTGATGGCCGTGTATGATGACGCAAGAATGTGGGAGAACGCAGTTGGTGCCACTCCAGAGGCGGGCAGAGGGAGTGATGCCATTCCACGTGTTCATCCTCGCGGGTACAAATCCTTTTTTGGGGCGCAAATGTCACGGTCGATGCGGAGTGCTGGAAGTTCAGTTAAAAGGAAGAGTTCGGTGACCTTGTTGGCCGTAGTGCAATTGTTGTCTGATGCGCCGTTTATGGTCAGTTTCTCGGACATGGAGACCTTGTTAGCGGCTGGTCAGGCGAGTGCGAAAGTGAGGCTTCCTTTACGTTCTTCGATTTTATGTCCGTATATGGTGGAGTCTTCTTTCCCTACTGGAACCTATACGGAGAGGAATAAAGGCGTGATTGTTAACTGTGGAGAGATGGAAGAAATGTTGTCGGTGGTGGCTCGGGACGTTTCTCGAGCAAGAGTAACTTCGTGGTGCCACTGTCTCGATAAGGGGCACATCGTCGCTGATGACTTTGGAATAGAAAACAACCTTGGTGAAAAGTTGGTGGCAATTGTACCCTTTAAGATGGTGAAGTCTGGCTTTGGGGAGGAGTCTGGCTTTGGGGAGGAGTCTGGCTCCGGGAAAAAGTCTGGCTCCCGGGAGGAGTCTGGCTCCGGGAAAAAGTCTGCCTCCGGGGAGGAATCTGGCAGACGGAGGAGTCTGGGATGCCAGACTCGGTTGCAGGGCTGTAAGCTTGTGTTCTACTCGATGGGATCCTTGTGCACGCAAATGCATCGATTGAAAACCTGTCAAGTGGAATATGCGTGTCCGTCGCCGTCTGGGATCATTCCGCTTCTGGACTACGCGTTCTTGCTAGATAGCCGGCTCAACGGCACAGACCACCCACGTTGTTCCGGTCTTACTATCATTGCGCCAGTGCTCGATTATGCTATCAGTAAACTGAGACCCCTCCCGCATGAGGGTGTGCAGATATGGCCGTTAGAAATGCTCAATCTGTCGAAAACTCGGAAGAGCTTCGTCTTCGACCAAAAAAAGGCCGATAAGGAAATGAAAATGAACTTGCTCCGAACCACCAGCAAGCATCAGCAGCTGTCGATGTGTCCCAAACTACGAGACCACATCTCCATTGCCGGCTGGGATGCCGAGTCGCACTGCGGAGACGCACTAGACATGCACCGCTTTGCTTCTGCTTGTCTCCGCTGGGTTGCACCCAACTCGGAGCTGCAAAACGCCATCATTAATGCCCTGAACGCGAACTGGGACGACCCTGAAAATTCACGACTGCCCGAACTGCTGGTCAAGCACCTGTTTCTTTATCACTTTTCAGATAAGCAACGGACGCTCAGGACCCCGCGCCTGATCGCCAACGCGGACAAGCGGAACCTCTAATCAGCGTGCCGCGTGGCATTGGCCACAGTAATGCATAAACAGTCATGACATTTCTGCAATGGGTTGTCTCCCTTTTTTGTGCCACATCAAACTGTACCAAATGGACATGACTGTCTGCGGGCAAATCTTGCCGTTCAGGCAGTTCTGCCTGATCTTTGGTCGTGTGCAAGGGCTTTGACCGAGAGCTTTCATCAGGAGCTTTGACTGAGAACTTTGACCGAGGGCTTTGACCGGCGAGCAAATGAAAAGCGCGTGTGCACACACGTGTGCGTGAAAACATTTACATGGCGGATTGGCACTCGTTCCTGCAGAGGGCTTGCCGTGTATCCTTCCAAGCCAGTCAGTTCCATGCTGCCGACCGTCTGGGGGTGGCGCCTCACGACGAGTTCGTGCTGAATATGCCGTTGATGGAGGTGTTACGAGATCAGATGGAAGTTTCGCAGGCGAGGAAGGAAAGGATAATAGACGAGCTGAAAGACTGGAGTTTGAAGGGCAGCAAGCGAAAGTCGATTTGGGTGCCTTTGATCCAGTTGACATGTTTCGTGTATTTCCGCGATGCTGAGGGTGATCATCGATGCAGAAAAGCAAGGTTAGGATTATTCTCAGAACTTGGGAACATTATTCTCGGTGTTCTCGTTGGGGACATGTACGTGTGTGGAGCCATGAGTTGGTCTGCATTGGAGAGGTTTGAAATCCGAACGGAAGCCATAGATTCGACGGATGTGTGCGCTGAAGATTTGATAAACATTGCCTCATGTGCTGCTCCAGTCCCCTATTCTTATAACAAGATGTCTTGTATGCAGTGTTGTCCGTCTACCACCGCCGCCGCTGCCAATGCGTTCACTGCCAATGCGTTCCGTCCGAGTAGCCCGAATAATTATAGCGAGGTACCCTCACCTGCCTGCCGCAACCTTGGCGAACGGTGGAAACGACGGACTCGACATCTAAGGATGCTTCGCAGCTCAACCAGGCCCGCTAGTGGCTCCGGTCAAGGAGGCAGGTCTCCTTCACTCAGGGCGCGCTGGATGGCTTCGCTTAAGTCCACCCTGGCCGCAGAGCAACGTGATGGTTACGCCGCCAATTACCAATTCTGCAAATGGATTTCTGACTCTAATACACACCGCCAGGCTAGACTCATTTTCACCGACAACAAAGAGTGCCTGTTCACATTTCCTTCTGGACGTGAACTCGCCATCTTCTGTCAAATGGTGACCCTTGTGATGATCTTTCAACAATCAGAGGTCCTGAAAATCACTACCCATCACTAAGTAGTGAGTGAGTGGTCATCGTCCTGATTATCACTAAGTGGTCATCGTCCTGATTATCACTAAGTGGTCATCCTGATTATCACTAAGTGGTCATCCTGATTGTTCTTGGGCCATCCTGACTTTCCGTCCTGATTTCACTCCGGTGGTGAGGCACTCCAGTAATAAGACTGTCTGGTGCTGACTGAGTCAGGTCGTGTTGGTGGTTACTTGAAAGCGAGGATCAGATAGACGATGGTGAATAAGAGGAGGAGTGCGCCGCCAATGTAGAGGAACCATTTGGTGGTCCAGGTGATACTTGCAGCTATGTTTTGAAGGCTTTGTCCGAGTCCTTGCCAGTCGACGTAGTCTCTATTTTCGAGGACGGGATCTAGGTAGGGATTACGGTTAGGTTCTTCTCTGCCTTTTCCAACAGGGTTAGCAGTGGCGTCATTTTGTGAGACTACAGCGATCTCATACTCAAGTTGTCCCTGGACCACGTCAGGCTCATTAGGATGGTAGCACTTAGTCCATGTGCGGGGTATGGTGTACTCATCTTTGCGTCTCTGCGCGAGCGCAAAGTCGCGCTGGAGATCGATTGTGCAAGTCCCAAGCAGGTCTCCGACGCCGATCAGCGAGTGGTGGTGTATCGAGAATTGAACTGTAGAAAAGCGGGCGGGAATGAAGATGCTAAAAACCATCCGCCAATTGAAGGTAGCTGAACCGTCTCGTGAGTTGTAATGAGTGTCGGTCCACTGTGCCTCTAAGGAGTCATCGAGGTGTCGGAAGCTACAGGACACATTGAGACTTACACTACTCGTATTGCCCATCTGGCAATCCTTAAGCTGCCAAACAACTACTCGTAGTTGGTGTGGTTGTGGCTCGGATGAAGACAGGACTGCCACAGGCATCGACTGCGCCTCCGCCGCCGTCAGCATTTCGACCCAACAACTGAGCACACCCGTAACCGAGTGAAGACGTCCCGTGGAACCCAGCAAGCCTTGGCCTAAACCTTGGCCTAGACCTGCCGAAGCGCTCTCGTGGCGTCTCAGGACGCGCGCCTCTATCGGAACCTGATTCGCGGCGACCATATGTCGGTACTCCGGCAGCCACCAACGGTCCTGCAAATTTACCACGGTTCCGCCGACCTCCTCGTCCTGCAGCGTGCCCGTCTGCATCAGACGGATGCGCAATGCCCCCATGCTAGGTAGGTCCACGACGAAGCGGTAGCACTTGTTGAAAACTGGATTTAAGTTACCGCTACGCGCATTAGATCGATCAAACACCGAGGCCTCACTGCTAGCGTTGCCGGGAAAGTCCAGGGTCAAATAGAACTCTGTAGAAAGACCTACACTTGTCGACGCCTTTACATCCTGTACAGATAAGCAATAAACACGCACCTCGATGTTGTTGGCGTGCAAGTCCGTCCCCGCTTTACGTTTCTTGTGGAACTCGTTGAGGCGTTCACTACCGCGCCCGCCAGTGCTCCCCCGGCCGACGGCATTGGCACTGGGACGGCCGCCTCCGGCCGCAGATTCTTGGTCGGCGGCGGTGTGCTGCGTGATAAGCACGTTGAACTTAATCTTGCCCGTCGCCACCGGGAACACGCCTGGGGAAGGCTGCACGAGACTGACTGTTTGGTATGGTAACTGGCCCATGTCCATGAAATCCTCCAGTGGACCGCTGATGCGCTCCTTGCGCTCGTCGTCGGTTAGGTCTGTTTCTTCTTTGGCGCGCATGTTGAACATGAGCGACTTGACATTGTAGCTACGCACCAACGCCTGGCCATCTATGCCCTTGGGCACATAAAAGTCCGCCTCCTCGTCCATGATCTTGCCTGGCGGATCTATATGTACCCGCTCGGCAGTCTCAGGTGCGACGAAGAGCATGCTATCGCACACACGTGCGTTGGCGGGTCGTGCGTGCGATCGGAGCTCGTCGTCCGCGAGCGCATTGTCGTCCTCGCCGGATTTATGCCCCCTTGCGTTATGCAATAGGCCACCCAAGTCTCGATCAAGACCCAAACTGCGACCAAGTCCCTGACCGTCTCGAGCTACGTCGTCGTAGAAAACGGGGGCGAACAGCTCTTGGGCTATTTCCCGTTCCACCGGTGTGTACCATGGGATGTACTGGCTCAGCGGCAGGATACCGAGAAGAGCAGGCTCATTGTATTGGTTATCATTGTAAACATATATTTCCAGGTAGGCAAAGTGGAAAGATCTCTTCGGCAGATGTAGGTCCACTTGAAAGTTCTGATTAAATTCGTAACACAATCCCGCACTCGCCGTCCCCCCAGAAGTACCTTGGACCGTGTTCAAAGGCGCACTGGAGAACGCCGACCATAGGTGATTGTCCGACTCTTTCACGTCTCGGCCATACGCTACTTTCACCTTCGGCAAAAATAACGGAGTAGATGAGACGATACCGAACACGCAAAGCAGAACCGAACATTCATATGTAGATGGTCTCACGTCATCGTAGTATGGGTACTGGTCTTGTTCCTCTATATTCAGAATTTCAAAAGCGCACAAAATCCGACCTGCTGGCTCTCCCTCAAGAGATAACGATAACCACACCGGGGCTTCCGCCCAAGCCTTTGGAACTTTAGATATGCTAAAGGTGGTCGATCCAACCAACTCATCGGAATAACCCGAACCCAAAATGCCCGTCGCTTGCAGGTTGAGCGGTAGCGCACTGTGCGACGTACGCACACTTGCCTTGTTGTAGACGGATATTGAGATGTCATTGGCCAAGGTTATATCATCAGGTAACTTGACCACGTTCTCATAAGATTGATAAAACTGCGGATTGCATGAATGAATAATCTCACGGGTAATCCACGAGTCACTACCCAACTCAATCTTCACATAAGGTGACGGCAGTTGACCGGAAGATGTGCATTTCAAGTTAGCTAACTCGTACAAGAAACAGCGGAAAATATACTTCCGTGCATTATATGCCTTGTCAATGTAGACCGGAGCCGCTGACGGAACCGCTGATCGAACCGGTCCTGTACCACTGGGGATGGATCCAGCTACCGAACTAGGAGGAAGCCCGCTAGGTATCTCGGCGGCCTTGGTATCTGCTAAGACAAAACGTGCCAGTATCTTAAAGGCGCTGGTCTCTGTCCCCAGAGTTTTAAGAGGAATCCAGACAGGCTTAGAGCCATAACCCGTTATCTGCTGCAGAGTAAGATATGTGTAAGCAATTCTCTGCAACTCTGTAGCCCCTCCACTACCGCCACCTCCAAATAAGTTTGCAGCGCTGTCAAGCAACCCCGCTCCTGCCGCAGCCCCGGGCGCCCCAAGGAGACCGCCCAGCAGAGGTGTAGGCATGATAGCTCCAGCCGCGTTGCTGACAAATTCTTCCAACAAGTTGCTCGGAGTAGACGAATGCAGATAAATGAACGCCAACCAGGCATCCTTCATGTCCGTTACCATCAGGTGAAGAGGATCTAAATGCCCTTCACCTGCCTCCGACCGGAATCGATAGCCCTCTTCTGATGTGTGGCTTACAAGACCAGAAAAGGACTTAATAGGACCGACTGCAAGCTCCACCTTCAAGGGCCCAACGTTACCCACCGTGGAAGCAATCTCAAAGATTTGTCCATGCAACTCATAAGAATGTGTCTCAGGTAAAGGCGCCATGCCACAGGACGATGTCAATACCTTAGAAGGCTTATGAACATTGCGCACTGCTATTTGGATAAGCAGCCGCCCAACATAACTGTTCGGACTCACCAGCTGAGGCGGGGTCTCGTCGTAATTCGAACAGACGGAATCCTGGGTCATAGTCACTGCCTGAAAAGCGTCGGTAGCCATCGTCGTCATATTCATCCACTGGCTCTCCAACTCAGATGTCGGCTGGTTCCAGTAGTAGTCTATCCACATCATTTTATGGTTTAAAGAACCACTCAAAATGGTCTCCAGCGAAATTAAATGGTAGCCAAAGAGCACTGGTGCCTTCGAACCATTATACAAGCCTATTCTGACATATCCATCAAGCGCGGGCAACTGCGCCGGAACAGAGAGTTGGGTGTTCCAATCCGGATTACTATTGAGCGGTATAACACGTGTGTGCGCGCGGTTTATGCCATGAAGTACTTCGATAAACGGCTCACTAATATTCTGTCCCAGTAGCCGGGTAGTAGCTATGTCTTGTCCTTTGTAAATATTGATAAGAAGATTATAGTTCTGCGACGACTGTATTGATGCGGATGATGAGCTGATACCATCCTGATTTGCCAATCGAACATTGTCTCGATCTGATTTTACACTAACAGAGATGCATATTTTCCCTACGTCCATGGTCGGGTCTTCTGGATTTAGGAGAGACTGCCAGAATTGAATAGTACTCCGACCGGTTCGCTCGTAAATCGTTCGAGGACATATCGAACATTTTCCAATCACTTCGGAACTCAAAGTAAATTTGTGATACGACGTAATCTCTACTAAATGACAGCCCAAATCATGTATCGTCGCCTTCAAGTGGAAGCTAGAATGCTGATCATAAGCCGTTGACGCTGCAGCTTGACGGACCGGTGTTTGGGTCTCTTGAGTGCCCAACCGAATAGAGTGCCACTGATTAGGTAGAGTACTGGTTTGTCCGACGCACTTCAAATCCTTAGTCTCATGTAAGGTCACTGCTATAGACCACTCAACTAGCTCTCTGCGTTCAATAAACGGGTCCACAGCCATGGTCTCCATCAAGCCGCAACAGATCCCGTTTAGTCTGTAAAACACACTTGCAAGACATACCTGCAAAGCATACCTATTGTCTGTTTATGGGGACAGCAGAAAATAACCTCTACAGTCACTCCATTGAACTTGACTATTCTCAAACTATATATAATACCGCTTGGGTCAGATCATTTCGAGAACTGGAACGAAAAAATGAGCGCGAAGAGATCATCGACCATCAAATCCCTCTGACCAGCATTCTACAGGCCATCATCCCACAGGCCAGCATTCTACAGGCCAGCGTTGTAGAGACCAGCGTTCTCTCAGGACCGAATTTTCTTCGGAGTGGGCGCAATTTTAAGATACATATTCTGCAAATGTTCTTCCAAATTCGACAATTCCTGAGCCGCTGGTAGGAGGTTGTAACGCGGTTGGCTAGCACTGTCTGCTGGGGCGCTCTGGCCAAAGGCAGCTGCTGTGTTGGTAGGGCTGGGAGTTATATGATTTTCAATTTTGATATAGAGGTCGGGATCCGAGCTGGATTGGTTGGTGTCTAGGATGCCAGGCGCAAATAATGTGTCTGGGGTCATGACTGGTAAGGGGACTTCCAACAAGTCTTCCAGTGATTCCTTGTAGTTGGGGTCATCATACCAGATACAGCAGCCTCCGTCGGAAACTAGATTGGTTTTGGTACATCCTACTCCCTTATTCCTACAATTTGCATGATACCAAACCTTTTCTTTTTCAGTGCATGCCAAAGTAATAGCAAGACCCAAAATCTGGGCTCTACCTACACGGCCAGCCCGATGGAACCACTGATCAATGTCGTCCGGAATGTTCATCATGATCATGAAAGGGAGAGCGGGAATGTCAATGCCTCGGGCTGCCACATCCGTACAAATTAAGAAGCGAACATCACCCTCTTTGAAATGGGCAAGATTCTGTTCTCGCTCTCGCTGGTCTCTCATACCCGCCAGTACTACGCAAGAATACGGGTTCTCTTTGCCTCCTTCGCGTTTTCCTCTAAACCTCTCCCCGTTCGCCGCTCCTTTTGCGGCGCCCAGTGAATTAAGATACGTCTCCATGTTAGTGCAGTCCACGTTCGTACGACAGAAAATTAGGCACGACGGCATCTTCAAGGTATCCGCAATTGCCACCGCAATTCGAGGCTTCAAGGACTTGTTTATTTGGCTCTTCTTCCCCTCCGGAGATCCACTAAACCTCGCCGCTTCATTGGCGTGAACTCCGTCAGTGGGCGGCTCTCGATCCAAAAGGGTTGTTCCGTCCTTCAATTTCACAGACTTCAATAACAGTTCGTACCGCTCCGGATGGTTAGCATCAATGACATATAAACATGCTCGCACACTGTCCGGTACGTGAGGACGTCCTTTCAGGTCCACCCAAACTGCGTCATGGGTCAAGTTCTCGATCATGCCCCGTACCTTCTTGTCGTGCAATGTTGCCGATACAAACAGTGTCTGAACCCTCCTCCCAACGCTAGCCATAGCGCGCTGCTGAATCTTGCTAACAAATTCCCGGTCGTCGTTCTTAAGCAACTCATCGCCCTCATCCAAGATCAGAAATCGCAACTTATTCAAACACAAATCTCCTTTCAGGCTCAGGTGGGTTATTGCCCGTAAAGTTCCAACAACCACGTCCACTCCTTTTCGCAGTTTGTCCACTATCTCATGGTCATTGCCGCGTCCGCCAGTACAGAGCAATGCTCGAATGTCGGGTGATGAAAGATACTTGGAGTATTGAAGAATACAGGCATACGTCTGCTGCGCCAAGTCTCGGGTTGGCTCTAAAATTACACATATAGGACTTCTCTCGTCGTCTGGTGGTCCGGATGCATTTCCAGCAATTCCTAGGTCTTCTGATCGTACACTATTAATAGGCGCATAGCCCTCAAACGTATACAGAAGGTCCTCTCCGGAAATTTTGACATGCGCTCCCTTGCCGCACACGTGTGCTTTAACTGCGCGATCCTTTACTATGCCAAAAGCAACGCCTTGGCGTTCCCCATTGATGGCCCACTCTACTGTATTGCCAGTTTTATCTATCAATACAGATATTGTGTCCCCTTGGCGGAACGGCCGCCCGTAGGTATCAAAAGTTCTATTATAGCTTTTCTTTCCTGTGCTGCCAAAGCCCCAGGAATGGCTGTCGCAGCCCAAATCGAGCGTCGCTCCGGCGGTGCTTATTCCTATTCGCGTCAGGCCCTCGGTCAACAAAGTGGCCTCGAAACAGTACTTTCCGCTTGCGATGGGAGGGTTGCACCTGATTCCTTGCCACCTGGCATCATTGTCGCATCTAATCTCGCCTCCCTCCTGAGTGAATAGGACTTGAGGGTCCTTATCGTTAATATCGGGTTGTAAGCGAGTCGACACTGTAGCTGCCGGTACCTCTCCCATATCTGAAGCACATCCCTTGACAAGTAGCTCATGAACTATTTGACAACAAGGCATACCAAAAGCACCCGTTTTACCACTACCAGTTTCAGCTGCCGCGCATACATCTCGGCCCGTCAATATATTAGGGATCACTTCTTGCTGAATGGCTGTAGGCAAAAGCCACCCTTCCTCTTCCACTGCGCGAATTATCTCGGGACATATACCCAGTTCCTCAAACGCCGACATTTCCTCACAAAATTTCCCATCTCCCCCCCCCCCTCCAAGCCACTCTCCCCTTCTCCCTTTTTAAAAACCGTTTGGCAGATTCCCCCCTTGACAGATTCCCTCCCTAATGACTCCCTTTCTGGTAACAAGATACTTAATGCTCTGACTCTAATCTGTCTGGTGACTTCTGGTAACAAAATTCGGAATCGAATCTTGCAGCTGTCTTATTTGGGGAGCCGTACCAAGTCTTATCGCACCAAGCCTTACCGTGCCTATCAAAAATCTGTACACTAGGTGAATGTTCATTCGTTGATTCTGTAAAATTCTTGGTGCACCTCTATCACAAATTATCATGACCGCATACTACACTTCTGTGGTGAATTATCTGACTGATACTACTACTGTATATTGACTATCTTCATGAGATTGGTATGTCCGGATACATCTTCGAGAATGCCGTGAACACATACGACGGAGTCTCCAGGTTTGGCATATTTTCTGTCCTTTGCATGGGCAACAGCCTTTCTGATGATAGAGTCTGTACCTTGGAAGGAGTCTACCTTGATGGGAATGACTCCTCTGACAAAGGAAAGCTGAGCGATAGAAATGTCTGAGGCGGATACAGCTAGTATAATTTGGGGTGGTTTGTACTTGGCAAGAAGCCTGGCGGTGAGGCCGGTTTCTGTTAGTGCGATGATACAAGAGGCGTTCACGTCTTCGGCAGATTCCACAGCAGAGCAGCAAACCGCTTCAGGCACACTGAGAGAGCCGGTTAGAGTAACAGAACTGTGTATGGCTTTGTAGAGAGATGGGTAGTCCAAGCAGGACTCCGCTTCTAGACATGTGCGTGATAGCATTTGGACTGCATTCACTGGGAAGGCCCCATTTGCTGACTCTCCTGAGAGCATAACACAATCACACCCGTCCAACACCGCATTAGCAACATCAGACACCTCCGCCCGTGTCGGACGGGGTGCATTTATCATGGACTCTAGCATCTGTGTAGCTACAATCACAGGCTTCCCCACCAAATTGCACTTAGAAATAATCATCTTCTGTGCTAGAAAAACCTTCTCCAGGGGAATCTCCATGCCCATATCACCGCGAGCTATCATTACACCATCAGCCTCAGCGAGTATCTCATCAAAATGAATCAGACCTTCCTGGTTCTCTATCTTGGGTAATATCTTAAAATGTCTCCCAGCGTCTCCGAGAATTTTGCGAATATCTCGAATGTCCTGTGCACACTGAACAAATGATGCAGCAATGAAATGCATCCTGTTAGGAATACCGAAGGCTAGGAAATCGTTGATCTCTCTCTCCCCGCAAACAGGTAGATCTACCTTGGCGCCAGGTAGATTCATATTTTTCCGTTCTCCAATCTTGGCATTGTTCATCACCTCGGTTATAACGTGGTCATCTTGTACATCCATAACCTTTACAGACAAAGACCCATCTGCAATCAAAATTTGACTTCCCGGCTTCACAGTCTGAGGTAGCTTGGGGTATGTACAAGCAATACAATTCTCATCACCTAAAAAATTGTAGTCCGTTACGATCTTCAACTGCTGACCCTTCTTCAACTCAATAGCCTTCACACCCTCCTTAAACATACCAGTACGGATCTCCGGACCCTTAGTATCCAACAGCAAACCCAACTTCTTCTCTGGACGTTGCTTCATAGCCTCTCGAACGCGCTTCAAACATTCCCCGTGGGTCTCGTGATCCCCATGCGAAAAATTCAATCGACATACATCCATCCCCGCATCAATCATCTTCACTAACGTTTCCACGTCCCAACAGGCCGGCCCCATCGTACATATAATCTTCGTCCTACGAAGACTTCGTTCCAACTCCGATCTACTCCTAAAGATATCATCCAAAGCTATACGTTGGGCTTTGTTCATAAACTGAGAATTCTGCACACTCGTGTTCATGTTAAAAATCAAAATATTACAAACGTTCAACCACAAGGAGACATATCCAATGCTGAGCAAGTGTGCAACACTGAACAAACATACTATCCGGCAGCATAGCTATCCATGCCTCCCTTCATCAGCACCCTGCCATCGTATCTGTCATCGCCATCGTATCTGTCATCGCCATCGCGTCTGTGATGACTTGCGACCGTCAGTATTCATGGCAGCCATTTAAGTGTGATTCGGTCGGCACCCGGGGTGGGGCAGCATATATTGAGGAGATTTTGGGGGGATTTCGGGGCAATGGAGAACACCGAAGTACCCGACCCCATGAGGCCGGTGGTGGAGTCGGTGGTGGAGTCGGTGGCTGTTAAAGGCGTAGAAACCGAAGAGTCGGCACCTTCTACCGCAGTTCCGATGGAAGCTCACGCCGGGAGAGGAGTGGTTAATTCGGTCTCTAAGTGTTGTGATGCTTGTCAAGGTTTTGACAAGAAGTGTTTCAATATGATGGTCCCGAGCAACGTTGCTTGTTGTGTGGTGTGTGAGGCGCGTAACTACGGCCGTGCGAATATTTTACACACCGGTTTCTACGACCCCACGGCCACACTGCGTGTGGGAGTATGTGTGCCGCCCTGGTTGCGAACAGAGCTGAGTGAAGAGCTGCTCCGGGCGCTTAGACAGCGCATCCAGTGCGCGGTGCTGGACGTATTACGGTCGGAAAGGAATATCTCAACGACTGACTTTTCAGGCGAGTCCAGTGTCCGGTCAGCATACTGTTTGGTCAAGAATCCTCTGTACAAGAATCCTGGTCACATCGTCCAAGAGATCAACACAGCGGGCGACGCAAACACCCTTGGTAACAAGACTCACGACGGAACAGTCGACAATATCCCGGGCGGATTCTCAGGGGGGGATCCTGAAGCGGCAGTGTACGTGTTGGATTTAGTGTACACAAGTCCGTTTTGTGACGTGGTGAAAAAACGGAAGGGTCGTAAGCGATATATGAAGGAGCCGCCGTTGAATTGGTCTAGTCGTCCTTTGAAGCTGACAGTGGCGTTCCAGGCTTTGAACCATCCCATCGTATACCAAGGTCGTTACAATAAGCTAGCTAGAGATGTGGCGCAAACTAAATGGATCAATAATGAGTATACTTCTATTGAAGAATTGTTGGGAGCAAAGGCGAACCAAGTCCACCGTTGCTCAGAATTTAACCTCATTGGATCAGGGAGAGAAGATGTCGATGTAAAAATGCTTGGACAAGGTAGACCTTTTTTGTTAGTGCTCAAGAACTCGAAAATTCTACCATCCTGCCGCAAGATTAAAGAGGATCCGACGGAGGCGACGATTAGCCAGGAGGAGGAGGTTATCCCCTTGATGGCTGAGTCGTACCGTTTGCGAGATGGAGACGTTTTGATACATGATTTGCGCTTGATTTCTGAAGGTTTCAAACAAGTCTCACAAACTACGAAAGCATTCCAGGAGACAATCGCAAAGAAGCTCAAGATGTACTCCGCTCAGATTACGACGAACAAAGCTGTGGACGTAAATTCATTCAATGATCAATTCGACAAGATTTTGAATGTTGACACAATACCATGTGACCCATCATGTTCCAGAGAGTGTGTTCTAATTTCCAAGAACGCGGACTCCTTATACAATATCCAGTCCATGCCATCTGTACCGGCGTTGGAGGTTGAACAGCGGACGCCTTTAAGAGTTGCTCATCGTCGGGCGGACCTGATTCGGAAACGGAACATTTACAGCATGCGGATAACGTTGAACAGTTCACCGGTAATTCACGATGACTTTTCCCGTAACGTAACGAATTCCTCTACAACGATTTCTCCTTCTTGCAAGTATACATTGGAGATCTTAGGTAGCGCCGGACTTTATATCAAAGAGTTCGTGCACAGCGATTTAGGAAGAACTAAACCTTCTCTGGCCGCATTGTTCAGAGAGACTGATGTCACATGCGACATAACACAATTAGATGTACTCAACCTGCTGGCTCTTGACAATAAAGTTACCCTCGAAGAAGACTCTTAACTACCTCCTTCAATTTTTTGCAACAATTTCTTGCAACAACACTCCCTAGACACACTTCTTTTCAAACATATAATTACTACCCCCGAACCTAATGATACCGACCTAATGACCGAACAAAACAGCTCTTATCATCACACCAACGACGCGTCCTCTTGGTGTGGTGGTGGGGTGGTGGACGAACGGACGGAATCATCTGTGACGGAATCATCTGTGACGGAATCATCAAGGACGGAATCATCAAGGTGCAGGTGTGGATGGAATAATCAAGGTGGATGGCAGGGGATATGTTTAGAGGGTGACGACAAGTTTCTTGGCTGAAAGGCCGCCTTTCGCGTAGAGAGAAACGGCGTTCTGAATTTCATCCAGACCGTGCCCAACGATGGACGGTTTGGGAGCCGCTAGGAAGGTGCCTTTCTTGAGTGCTTCCGGTAAGAAATCGTTACAGACTGCCTTGCCGACTTGGTTATCCTTGATAGTAGATGCCCAGACATGTTTGCAAGGTATGTCCGGGTATTGGGAAGGGTCTCCGCGTGTGAGTGCCACAAACTTGACGCCGTTCAGCTGCCGGACTACGTCCATGCATACTGGTGTAGCAGTATCTCCTCCAATGCACTCCATGGTCCCGGCAAAGGTTTTGTTCTTGAGTATTTTTACGAGATCCTCCACTATGGTCGGACTCTTGTAGTCTAAGACCTGGGCAGCTCCAAGATTCTTGACATACTCGAAATTGTGTGGCGACGCGGTGCTGATTACTTCATAACCCGCGGCAACTGCGAGCTGGACTGCGTTACTACCTACTGAAGACGAGCCCCCCCAGATAAGTACAGTTTCGTTCTTGGATCGCTGCGCAGGAACAGTGGGGTACTGCAACTTCAAGAAATCGTCCTGGAATAATCCTGCTGCCGCCGTTGCGAAGCCCAAAGGAAGAACTGAAGCTTCTTCAAAACTGAGCTCATCTGGCAACCCTGTAACAAGATTCTCGGGTACCACGGTGAATAATTGAAAGGCGTCATGCTTATTCTCCCTCGTCATCATACCAATGGCCTGACCCAGAACCCTATCTCCCTTCTTGTACAATGTAACACCCGGACCCACTTCAACCACCTCCCCTGCTAAGTCGTGTCCTAGAATTGTCGGGTACTTGAAGGAGAAGAAATCTAACGTTTGAACAGCAATATCCACAGGGTTCACTGCCACCGCCCGGTTCCTAACCAACACCTCTCCCTCACCCGGCGTCCACATAGGGGCCTCCTTCACCTCGAACCGAGCCGCCTTCGCCTCCATCTGCCATGCCGCCCAGTTCCCAGTGTCTTGAACATTCATAGCCAACAATAGGTTACACACTTTTTTGCTCCCGGCTGGAAACAACCCTCTACGGGCGACTGCGCGTTCCTGCTTAAAAGGGAGAGCATATTTTAGCGCGTCAATTAATCGAGGTGTACAGATGTTTACTTTGAGACTTCTTGCTTTGATTGGTGGTATCTTTGGTGAAGAGATCAGCCAGCGTGGTGGTGAGACTGGACTGGGTCTTCCTCAGGTTTTGCCTGACTTGAAACCCGTGGATGATGCGCAAAGATGGGCTGATAGAACGAAGACGAGTACTTTGACAAAGGACGCCAAGCCAAGAGTTGTTTACGGAGAAAGGTACTTCCAGACCCGGCAGCCAGAGGTGTGTAACTTCCCCATGGAGATTGTAATCTTGCAAGACCTTACTGATTCTTTCTCTGACAACATTGTGCAGATGAAGAATGTGCAGCTCCACCAGATGATTGATGGGCTCGCACAGAGTCACCCTGGCAGCAAATTCAGTATGGTCAGCTTTCAAGACAAGGCCATCTACCCTCTGGGAAATCGGGACGACGCTTGCTGGACGTTTTATAGCGACTTCTCCACCGACACCCAGCCGGTATACGACGCGTATGCTCAGGCAGTCTCTTATGGTGGCGCGGACGCCCCCGAAAACCACTTTGGTGCAATTCTCGCAGCCATGGAATCCAGCAACATCAGCTGGTCCCCTCTGGGTTCCGAGTACACTCGACTTATTGTGGTCGTCACTGATGCTGCGCCGCACCATGCTGACGATGGTCTCAACCCCGATCCCGCGACCCTCAAGCCCTGGCAAGGGGAGTACTCCGATGCCCAGGCAGCTGACCTTTGTCTCAAGACCTATTACCCTTCCGCCCAGCAAATGTACGACCAAATCGTCGCCCGTCAAACCTATATCGCGGCACTCGTGTTTGACGCCGACTGGGAGAAAGGCTGGGCCGCAACTGGTTGGAAGACCTTCAACAGGTTCCTCGCCCAACCCGAAGGCATGGTCGAACCCGATGCTGAGGACTCCTCTGGCTTCTGGACACAGCTGTCGAAGATCATAGACGTGATGGAGGCAGTTGAATGCTCCACTGACACCACCACTCCTGCTCCTGCTTCTACGACCACTGCCCCACCTCCGGCTCCTACGACCACTACCCCACCTCCAGCTCCTACGACCACTACCCCACCTCCAGCTCCTACGACCACTACCCCACCTCCGGTTCCTACCACCACCCCTGCTGAGTGCCCCCCGGCTATAGAGGTGACCGATGGAGATTGCATTCCCACGCCGGAAAACTGTTACTGCCAGCCCGACGTGCTGATCCAGTTGATGGAGAAGCCGGACAGATTCAACTTGGTCGGTGACGACCAGACCATCGTCAATTTTTAGATCAGAATATGTACAGAGTTTTGTTATAGTCACTTTATCTGTTCTGAAACGACTTGGTCGGAGCCTGAAAGAATCCCGTCAGCTGGTGCATGCAGACTGACTGAATGGGGTGCCAAGGCTCAGGACCTAGAGGGTCAATGTTACGTGTGTGTGCACACACTTTTGTCATGAGTTGCATAGCACGCATTACAGCACCATATCTTCAACACACATTCACTACCTCCCAACATACATCCACTATCTCTCAACATACATTCACTATCTCTCAACTCACATTCACTATCTCTCAACTTACATTCACTATCTCTCAACTTACATTCATTGACACTTCGAATAACCCCCTACGATACCTTTTACTGGGACCAATATAAATCGTGGGGGCATAACTAGCTCTTATGGTGTGTGTTCGCGGTGTGTTTGTATCGCACACACAATACCTTAAACCCCGCGGCTCAACATTAAAATAACATCCGGTTTAATGCGCAGCAACAAAACCAAACATCTCAGTGTTGATGTACTGCCGGCGGGTTTGTCTCTGTTACGGGCGTTGCTCCCAGATAAGGAACCAATAGAGTGCGAGAATCAGCAAAAGAGTCAGAATGGTCGTGGCTTTACTCTGCTTGGTCCTGCGGACTGGAGTTCATCGGAGGACAAGTTATGGGATTCTGTTGCTCCGCTTCAGGAGCTGTACGGCTCCTTTTGGTATTGGGCGAATGATATTCTTCTCAATGATTGGGATCATATGATCCCCTACCTAGTTAAACAAGAGTGGGAGGGGCAAGGTGGTTGTCGAACAGTTGCTACCCTTGCCCGAATTGCTGCTAAGATCGGACCAGGTCAAATTCCTACAATGTCCTATTATGAATGTTCCTCTGAAGACCATACGGAAAGAATAGCGTTCACAGAAGAAGTGTTCGAAATAGTGTTCAGACGACATTATCAAATCTGGTCTGACCATCTTGGATTTGACCAATTTGCAAGAGAGTTTAAAGAGGCTTTATTCCTCAGCATGCGAGACCTGTTCATTGACCGTCAAATGGACGAAAGTGCTATGGCAGAGACCAGTCATGGACTAAAAATTTTATCGTGGCAGGAATTAAGATGCCGTCTTCTTTGCCGTCTTTGTGAACATATACGAACTTGGAGTCAATGCAGCAGTCATATGGACGGTCACAGGGACAGTCGCACCGACCGTCACAGGATTCCGGGGGGGTTCACTAATTGGTTCCGAGCCATACGAGCTTCACGACCTTACGGCTTAGAGATTGTCGGAAAGCGATTAACGTGCATGAAATACGGTGACCTCATATCAATATTGCCAATGCACGACGAAAGGCGTTGGGTCGGTAAAGTGTGGGCGAATGGAGTGACGCATCTCCCGTGCTACTCTGTACGGTCCGGTGTGGTCAGATGTGCACTTGGGTTCGCGTGCGTTCGAGTCCAGGGATGCCCCCAAGCATCATGAAATGATTATGGAATATTTTGAAGCGCAAGGTAATAAGCTTAAACCTTGTAGTATGGAAGTTGATGAGATTGTGGATGAGATAGCTACGGTAGGACTCATACCAGATTCCGACAAACTCCTGGTGACCCAGATGGTTATTGACTACTTGCTGGAGTATTGGACCCCCCCTTCTAGTACGACCTTAGGTACGGTTTGTAGGGAGATTCGGCCTGCTCCGAATGACGAATTCCGTCGAGTGAAGGACGCAAAAGGCAAATTGCGGCGGCACATAAGTGATCTCGCCGCTGCAGCAAGGTATGAGGTGCTGTCGTCAGGTGTTGTTCCGGAAGATATAAGTACGTTGGGGGTCCCTTTTGTCATCTCAAGAAAACCTCAAGCGCCGTCGCTTCCTCTAGGCCCATTGATGTGGGCTTATGACATCTTAAGGTACGACTTGCTCCATGTGCTACCTGCCGGGTACATCAGGTCTATGAGGCGCATTCCCTCAGTGGTAGAACTGGCGCGGTATGCGGCATCCAAGTTACCCAAACCTGGTCATCAAACAAACCCGCTGTATTGCTACCCACATGAGTTGTACAACAACATTACAGAGGTCACAGATTTTCGTTCGTGGGTAGACGACACGATTGCATGTCGGCTCCAGTCACGTGAAACGGAGACACGTCTGCTCTGCTTACCAACGCAACACGACATCCGGAATACCATCAAAATGAAGTGGGCGGAACACCTTTTGCGCTCGTGTTGGGATAAGGCCGGACAGAGTAAGGACGGGGTGTCCAAACCCGTGTTCCTTGCGATGGTTTTTTCCCACGTGTGCGAGGTTATGCGATCAGAGTAAGATCATTCCGAGCAGCCCGGCCTGGCATTCCTAATCTTCTACTACTAGTTTCTCAGCCGTCACGCAGGGTGGTCGGGAGGTGAAGCCCAAGATTTCGGAAACCGCAGCTGGCTGTGAAGGTCTCCGCTAGTAAGCACCATATCGACCCGGCCGAGTACGTCCCCAACCACCCACCCTCAAAGCACCCTCCTCAATCTGGTGATTCTTAAATAGCCCCCCTTCTTGTAGCAGCCCACGAGCTTCATCCTGCACGCATTTCCCCGCTTGCAATTTTCGCCCACCATCATTGGTCGCTGGTGAGGTGCTCTGGTCCAGCGATTCAAATGTCCTTGATAATGTGAGACCGAAAATTGGATCGGTAAGATCAACATCTGCAGAGACGAGACGAATGTGCTGGCTCGGCTCAGAATATCAACGTCATAGGGTTTGTTACCGAATGGCTGTTTTTGAATTAGTCAAGGCTCGGTGCTTGGTTGATATGAGTCTTGGGTCTCGAGGTGTGTGCTCGTGTGTGTCAAGCGTGTGGCCAGTTCTGATTGAGGCTGTGGCTAATTGAGGGTGTGATTTATTCTCAATAAAATTGACGGGCGCCGTAATGGACGGCGTGCTGCAACCGTTAACTTTTCCGGCGTCCTGCTGTGTTTGTGGGGAAGGAGTTGTATACAGTTTGGTGAATGGGCAGATAGAACTGGCGCTTAATTCGAGCGGTTGTAAAAACGCTTTAGCGACCCTGATAACGACCTATGAGGCTGTTCAAGGTATCTTTCCTTCCAGACCTGCCCCAGAGGTCGTCTTCCCTCAGCCAGCCATCTCTTTCCCTTTGCCCGTCCTGTACCCACACAGTCGTCTTCTCACTAGCAGTCGTCTTCCCACTAGCAGTCGTCTTCTCACTAGCAGTCGTCTTCCCACTAGCAGTCGTCTTCCCACTAGCAGTCGTCTTCCCACTAGCACGTGATGTGGTTGTTTCAGGTATTTCCTCGTGGCCGTATTCTGAGAAAGATGGAACGGTGCAGTCCAAGGTAATAATGCCGTATAATCTGTTGATAGGTAATCTGAGCAAGTTGCCGACAAGTCTGGACTTAGTGGCATTGAATTACTTTGAGAGCCATATGTTGGATGTACCAGGCTTGGCGTATGAGATTTGGTTGTCACCGATACCCTGCAGCAATGAATTACTAAGTTGTTGCTGGCGTTGTGATGTAGTGCCGAAAAAGTCTCACAACGTTCTGAGCGAGGAAGGGACATATTTTAGCAGCGTCAGATTTATTCTTGGTTGGAATGGAATAGCTACGAATTTCCTTGAAAATGCCTGTCCATCAAATATTTATTGTAGCATTCTAGTTCCTTTATGGAAGGCACCTTTAATACAGTATACACGTGCTAACTTGTTGCAGAAGTTAACCTCGGAGCACATTCTGGACGTGATAAAAGCAGCCGCGTTCAATGGCTACCGTTTGATCTTCATTGCTGACAAACCTTTGGAGACGTTCTTGATGTTCGCGGACGTCCTTCATCAAGCTCTGCAACTCCTAAGGAACACGAACGTCCAGCGAGATAAAATCACACACATGGTCGGTAATGCACACACGGTAGGTAACGCCAGCCCCATGGGCGGTAATGCCAACCCCATGGGCGGTAATGCCAACCCCATGGGCGGTAATGCCAACCCCATGGGCGGTAATGCCAACCCCATGGGCGGTAATGCCAGCCCCAAACTTCTACTAGCAGGTCTGCCTGTTATTCGGAGGATCCTAGCCGTTATGGATACGTCCTTGGTGCTGTATGATAAGGGCGGGCTCGGCAACTTGGCGGACGCAATTCAGCCCCAGACGCCACACTGCTTTCTCCGATCAGGCTGTTTTGAGATTGAAACCTGCATGAGCAGCCTCATGCACAAAATGACCAACACGCACGTGCCCCTCCTGTTTCTTCTGACCGAAGCATCCCGGGTTCGAAGCATCATGGCGTCCATCCCAAAACCGGGAACGGACGTCTCTGGCTCCGCGGATCCGTCGATTGCGGAGACCACTTCAATGGAGACCACTTCAATGGAGACCACTTCAATGGATACCGCTTCAATGGATACCACTTCGATGCAGCCAAACTCACAAAAGCCGAAACTAAAGAAGTGGCCACTGCCGCTCGTCCAGGTTTCCGACATCACTACCTTCTCTGACAGCCAGCTGACGGAGTTGTTCACGGAGTGTGCGGACTTTAAAACCATAATCGTTGATTTCCAGGAGGCCGGCCGAATGGGCGGTCGGCGAGAGTACCCTGCATTCAGCGAGATTGCCGTGCACGAAGTCGTATACGAGCGGGGGTTCCCTGAAAACCTACCACCGCACATTAGCTTGCAAATGCTGCGGAACGAGCCCACCTCCTTTGGTGAACGGCACTTCGATGATGCCGTCTACAATGCCGCCTTACATGTCCCCATGGACGACCATGTTCTACACGTCTCGTCCTCCCTGGACCACTTTGAACCCGTTCGAGACCAAGAACTAAAGGAATTTATTCAGTCAGCCTTAGCCACCCCCGATGACCCAACAATCAGCCCTGCAACTAGCATTGCAGTTGCCAAGTCCGAAAAGGGTTTGAGGCCCAGCCTGAAAATGTCCTTGTTCAACTTCTTCGACACCACCAACTTCTTGGCCAACAGGACCTCAGACAGCGCTGCAGATTAAATCGCTGCTTGCGTCCCCGCAACCATAAGGCTAAACGTTTGCGTAGCTGCGTTGGCCGTGGGCGTGTCTAATGTTGACTTGTGGACACACACACCATGTGGACACACACACCACCACATCTTCACTGTGTGAACATTCGGTCTTGGGAAACTACCTTCAGACCTACTTAGCAGGTTCTATCTAACTTTTATACGGCGGACTGCTGGCGTTTCACTAAAATTCGGCTAACTATTTTCCTACTATTCCGGCGCTGCTCGAATGAGAGGAGACGCCAACTTGGTGTAGGTGACAATACCGTCGGTAACGGTGACGACGGGTCCTGGAGCGCTCACCAAAGTAGAGCTCTTCTTGGAAGGAAGACTGCACTTGCGTGCGTGGTCTGTTCGGTGAGGGTGGCTGTTAGTTTAGGCTGGCCCAGTTACTGAGCCGTCAGGGTGTGCGAACGGCACCCGTCGGTCGGGACCCGTCGGTAGAATTGTTTTTGCATGGCGTGAACCCCTACACCCTGGTACGCCGTTCAGTTTTCCGTTTGGTTTTCGGGTCGTTCGATCTTGAAGTAGCTTGCGGTCTTGGAGTAGCTTCCAAGAAGACCTGCTGTCTCAGTTAATTGCTGTTGGTGCTGTTGATGAGGTTCTGTATTTTTGTAATGGTTACCTTTTACGGGTGCTTCAGTGTGTTGGCGATTGTGTTTGGTGCGTCGAAGGGCTTGGCATCGGAGGTTACAGTAGATCAGCGCGGTGGGGAGCGTGGTGTTCCATTGAAGAGTGTGTTGCCTGTACTAGGTCCGGTCAACGAGACGGTGCGTTGGGACGAACGGGTATCAGGGCCAGTGGCAGGTGCGAACTCGTTGGTGAAGATCGCTCCAAAACCACAGGTTACTTACAGTTCGAAGTACTATGAGGGGCGGCAATCGGAAGTCTGTAACTTCCCGTTGGACATTGTTATCCTGCAGGACTTAACCGATTCGTTTTCGGACAACATCGAGGAGATGAAGAATGTCCAGCTGCACCAGATGATTGACGGACTTAGCAGCACACACCCCGGCAGTCGGTTCGCTCTCGTCGGCTTCCAAGACAAAGCTATCTTCCCTCTGGGCAACCGGGACGACGCTTGCTGGACCTTCTCTGCCGATCTCAGTACTGATCTGGAACCCATTTATGACAGCTACGCCGACGCCGTCTCGTATGGCGGAGCGGACGCCCCCGAAAACCACTTTGGCGCAATTCTCGCAGCCATGGAGTCCAGCTACATCAGCTGGTCCCCTCTGGGCTCCGAGTACACCAGACTTATTGTGGTCGTCACTGACGCTGCGCCCCACCATGCTGACGATGGTCTCAACCCCGACCCCGCGGCACTCAAACCCTGGCAAGGCGAGTACTCCGACGACCAGGCGCCGGACCTTTGCCTCAAAACCTACTACCCCTCGGCACAACAAATGTACGACCAAATCCTGGCCAGACAGACCTACATCGCCGCTCTCGTCTTTGACGGCGACTGGGAAAATGGCTGGGCCGCCGACGGCTGGAAAACCTTCAACCGGTTCCTTGGCCAACCCGAAGGCATGGTCGAACCCGATGCTGAGGACTCATCTGGCTTCTGGACACAACTGTCCAAGATTATAGACGTAATCCAGGCGATTGAATGCCCCCCTGAGACCACCACTCCGGCGCCTACCACTACCCCGGTTCCGTCGCCTACCACTACCCCGGCTCCGGCGCCTACCACTACCCCGGTTCCGGCGCCTACCACTACCCCGGTTCCGGCGCCTACCACTACCCCGGCTTCCGCGCCTACCACTACCCCGGCTCCGGCGCCTACCACTACCCCGGCTCCGGCGCCTACCACTACCCCGGCTCCGGCGCCTACCACTACCCCGGCTCCTGAGTGTACTCCGGTGGTAATCGCTGACGTGGACCCGGATTGCGTACCTAGTCCTGATAACTGTTACTGCAGACCGGATGTGATCATTAGCATTTTGGAGAGACCGGACTCTTTGCTGGTTGAGGCTAACGGCGACGTTATCCACTCCTTTTAGTTAGTTAGAAACTGTACCCATTCCACATCGTTTTTAAAACAGAGCATTTGTGCAGGAATATTGACTTTGTAACTAGGGTATGAATGGCAAAAGAAAACTTCTTGGACATGCTTAAGAACAGAACGGACATTGCCGCATACACCGAGGTCGGTCACCAATTCTGTCACGGTACCTGGATACGCCCCATGGATATACCCTCCACACTGTTAACATGCTTGTGTTTAGAGGCTGCAAGAAAAGCGAGATGACCTACAGGAGAAACTGATTGAAATTTTGGCGCCTCTAAGATCAGAGTTGGAGGATCCTGCATCGCTAGTTCGGCTAAAGGAATTGGTTGCGGTTGCTGAGAGCGTCGCGGAGCCCGAAGAAGGGGCGCCTTCTGGAGGGGCGTCTGAGATTGACTGTACAGACATTGTGGAGCTGCACCGCCAGATTGATCAGGTTCGTTTGACATTGACGTTAAAGCGCGGGGTTGCGATGGTCAAGGAGAAGTTGGTACATTTGTCGTCAATCGAAGACGAATATGAGCAAGTACAAGTGCTTGGGGACACCGTCGGCATCCACAAAGCTTTACTTGAGTACTCAGATTCGGCTAAGGTGCCTTTGATCCGTGAACTTCTACCTACAATTCAAATTCAAATCACCACAGAAAGAATTGCGGAAAACATCGAGATAAAACTAAGATCAGCTTACCGGATAGAAGTAGGGGAGGGCCCGGAGTCATATCTATCGCTCTATACCTCACCCAATTTCGAACGTCTATGCTGGGCACATATTGCTATGCAAGGAATTATGCCTGCGCCTCTGCACACACGTGTGCGCCGGCCAAAAACGCGCGCATCGAACCCTTTGAATCAGCAAAAGAAGGCCCAGCAAGACAGATCTGAACAGCAACAGGGGGGTGAACACCAACAGGGGGGTGAACACCAACAGAGGGGTGAGCAGCAAGGCGGGGTTGCGGAACAAAAGGACGAGGAACAAAAGCTGGACATGAGTTCCTTTACGGACTTCGCTTTGTCATTGAGGTTGACACTGTTTGAAAGGTTTGTTTCGGTTATCCTGAGTCAGAGGTGTCCTATTAAGTCGTTATATGAAGAGAACTTGGCACTCGGAATCCAAGTCTTAACTGTGAGCTTCATGAGGGGCGAGTACGGGGTCATTAAAGGAGAAGAGTTGATCCAGATACTTAGCCAGTTGACTGACCCGCTTCCCACTTGTGTGGTGAGTGAATGGGAGACTCATCTTGATGACGAACTGAAACATGCATTTATCAACGTGTGGGCGCCCGTCTATTTGGTTGAAGTGGAATCTATGAATTGTTGTGCGAACGGCCTGAAAGATGTTCTGCTACGTTGGGGAATCGTATTTGGAGGGACCCTGGTACAGCATGTTAAAGCTTACCTAACCGAGAAGCATCTGTTGTCTGTTACACGTTGTGACATGTCGTCACTCGTGATACCGATGACAACCAACGAATCTGAATGGCAACGTACGACGCCACAGTAACCAGGGATCACCGTGCTTCTGTTTACACAACGTTCCTCCCTGCATCTCTGTTTTATACACACTGTTTCTGCCCGAAAGAGCACATGAGAAGCACTGCAATCCGATCCCAACCTTAGAGTGTGCGGATGCAACCTATTTGCAACCAAATGATGATATCTTGCGTCGCTTTTTGAAGCTGACTGGTGTTCAGCTCACGACGTCTGAAGTAGAAGATTGCATGATCACTAACGGAGCTTTAACCTTGGCTATTGCAACCTACAGTTTATTTGCGGACATGATAAACGTCAAGGAGTCAGCTCCCTATTCCTATCGCGGTATCCCCCTATCGCCCCTATCGCCCCTATCGCAGTTTCCCCCTATCCATCCGGTATCAATATATCCCACCACTAGCCACTATTTCAGGTTATCGGATTCGTACTTCGACATGATTGACTCCCCTGTGCGGAGCTTCGTGGGTTACCGCTCTCTTGTGGATTGTGGTAACACGTTGGGTGACCTATATTTCCTTTTGATCGTATTGTTACGACAGCGATATTATTTGCACACGAAGAGAGAAAGAATTACGCCTCTAATTGGAAGCTGCTTCAAGCGTTTCTATGAAATCACCAAAGAGGCTCAGGAATCCAAGATCCCTCCCTCGCGCATCAGCGTCTCACTCATGCTTAACGCTATGATCTCCAATGAAGGACGATGCGAACTCGAAATAACCGCCGGGGAACGTCTTAAGACCATTTACTCCATTAAGGATGAACTCAGCGCGCTTCCGGAGTCCATCGCGCACAAGATACATGAACATATTACCCGGAAATCAAAAGAAGACGTCCATAACACTGTACTGCCCCCCC